AGTCCGCCAGACGCTCGGTTCCATCCTGACTGTTGTGACCTGAGACATCTCTGGACTGAAGAGTCGGTACCACGGTATTCTACAGCCCTCCGGTGCCAGAGGTCAGCCGACCCTTGTGACTTTCAGATCCACCAAGAGGGTCTCTCCAAAACGGGTAAAGTAGACATGACAGAATGCGTCTGAATGTTCTTCTGATGATAACAACTTTATAGTTTAGAGCAAACCAAATTCTTTTCACCAGAACTCAGCTTATTTTGATAAGGAAGCTCTGACTGACATCGCATTCACACATAGGTTCCTTCATCATGTTTAGTTACATCCACTCACAGTAAATGCTTAATTAATTAGTCATGTTTTAAATTGTTTGTAAAATAAATTCTTACTTTTATAAACCTGACTCCTTCTTGAAGTAACACGAAGTGTGGTTGATCACTGAAAAAGCAAAGAACCTAGATCTTCTGAATTAAATCCTAGAATCTTCTGAATAATTACAATAAAGACCTTGCAGGTTAATATTTTATATTTATATCGAATATTACATCTTCCTGGTCATAACAGATAAAATAATCAATTTGCCTCCGCTACATTTAAGAGAAACTGAGTGTCACTGTGTGTGACATCCACGACTTTGTAGTTTTTTAGCTGTAGTCAAAAATGGCATCTGGCAATGACATAAACATCTTTCTTCAGCAGAAAAGCTTTTAGTGCTTCTACTTGTTGTGGTTTTAAAGACATTCAAGTCAGTTAGACCAGAGGAAAGAGCCGCAGCGAACTCCGCTACAGTCGCCATGTTTATGACAAACTCGGCGTTGTGGTGTGTGACGTACGCTGCTCAGCGCTGATTGGCTTGGTTAGGATTCTCAGAGGCGGGGTTTTTTGAGTAGGAGAGTTCCCAGACCCTTTCTCTGTGCAGAATTAATTTCTGACTATATTAAACGATTTCTTCGGTTGTAAAGTGTGAAGTAAACTCAGACGAAGTAAAATCCAAGCCGATCCCGTTCATGTTCATGTTTATGATCCGTGTTTGTTTACCTTTTTTGCCTGCCAATATGGCGTCTACTAACTGAGAGTCACGTGGGGTCCGGAGCTCTATACGGGCATTGAACGGCACTGAAAATTGGTTTAACACACAGGTCCGATTTGCGCTTTCGGTGCCGAGATGACTCTTTTTCTCAGACCTTCTCCCCAACGGTCAGACTGGGACCAAGGCAACACTACAGACTGACTGGCTACATGAAATTACGCACACAGCCTCCATTATGCAAGAAGAATGAGCCAGTGGGGTGAGGGGTACGCACTCGGTACCGTTTCGCTGCCGCGTTCCTTCTTTGGGAGTGAGCTGTGGAGAAGGGGGAGAATGCGTGCACGCAAGGGCGCAGCAAGCTTTTGTAAAGTGTGGGTGTTGAGATTTCTCTGAGTTATACAGTGTGTATATATATAAATAAATAAATAAATATATATATATATATATATATATATATATATATATATATATATATATATATATATATATATATATATATATATATATATATATACAGGTCCTTCTCAAAAAGTAGCATATTGTGATAAAGTTCATTATTGTCTGTAATGTACTTATAAACATTAGGCTTTCATATATTTTAGATTCATTACCCACAACTGAAGTAGTTCAAGCCTTTTATTGTTTCTAATATTGATGATTTTGGCATACAGCTCATGAAAACCCAAAATCACCATCTCAAAAAATTAGCATATTTCATCCAACCAATAAAAGAAAAGTGTTTTTAATACAAAAAGTCAACCTTCAAATAATTATGTTCAGTTATGCTCAATACTCGGTCGGGAATCTTTTAGCAGAAATGACTGCTTCAATGCGGCGTGGCATGGAGGCCATCAGCCTGTGGCACTGCTGAGGTGTTATGGAGGCCCAGGATGCTTCGATAGCGGCCTTAAGCTCATCCAGAGTGTTGGGTCTTGCGTCTCTCAACTTTCTCTTCACAATATCCCATAGATTCTCTAGGGGGTTCAGGTCAGGAGAGTTGGCAGGCCAATTGAGCACAGTAATACCATGGTCAGTAAACCATCTACCAGTGGTTTTGGCACTGAGCAGGTGCCAGGTCATGCTGAAAAATCAAATCTTCATCTCCATAAAGCTTTTCAGCAGATGGAAGCATGAAGTGCTCCAAAATCTCCTGATAGCTAGCTGCATTGACCCTGCCCTTGATAAAACACAGTGGACCAACACCAGCAGCTGACATGGCACCCCAGACCATCACTGACTGTGGGTACTTGACACTGGACTTCAGGCATTTTGGCATTTCCCTCTGCCCAGTCTTCCTCCAGACTCTGGCACCTTGATTTAAGAATGATATGCAAAATTTGCTTTCATCCGAAAAAAGTACTTTGGACCACTGAGCAACAGTCCAGGGCTGCTTCTCTGTAGCCCAGGTCAGGCGCTTCTACCGCTGTTTCTGGTTCAAAAGTGGCTTGACCTGGGGAATGCTAGCCTAGTGAACTAGACCAAATTCTTGCTTTGCAAAGACTGGTCTAGGCATGCTCCATTGGAACCTTAGCAGCTCCTACCAGGACTCTGGCTAGCCAATCACAGCTCTCTAGAGGGGTTTCAAACACATAAAGAGCTGTGATTGGTCCATAATGGTGGGCCAATCATAGTGCTCTATCTGCTTAGTGAACAAATCACAGAGCTTTATCCGCTTTGTGGGCCAATCAGGGCACTCTATAAGCCTGGTGGGTGGGATGATGCAACAGAGTGAAACAAGAGTATGTCACATTGATTGTCCAGTGGAATGCGGAGATCATTTGAAAGACAACGGTAGAACCCGCCCCACAACCGAGAGCCGTCAATGGAGCGTTGCCAGACTAAATAATACATTTATTTAGTCTGGCTTGCCAGGCTAGGGGAATGTGGCACCTGTAGCCCATTTCCTGCACACGCCTGTACACGGTGGCTCTGGATGTTTCTACTCCAGACTCAGTCCACTGCAGGTCCTCCAAGGTCTGGAATCGGTCCTTCTCCACAATCTTCCTCAGGGTCCGGTCACCTCTTCTCGTTGTGCAGCGTTTTCTGCCACACTTTTTCCTTCCCACAGACTTCCCACTGAGGTGCCTTGATACATCACTCTGGGAACAGAAATTTCATCCTGTGTCTTACCCTCTTGCTTGAGGGTGTCAATGATGGCCTTCTGGACAGCAGTCAGGTCGGCAGTCTTACCCATGATTGCGGTTTTGAGTAATGAACCAGCCTGGGAGTTTTTAAAAGCCTCCGGAATCTTTTGCAGGTGTTTAGAGTTAATTAGTTGATTCAGATGATTAGGTTAATAGCTCGTTTAGAGAACCTTTTTATGATATGCTAATTTTTTGAGATAGGGATTTTGGGTTTTCATGAGCTGTACGCCAAAATCATCAATATTAGAAACAATAAAAGGCTTGAACTACTTCAGTTGTGTGTAATGAATCAAATATATATGAAAGTCTAATGTTTATCAGTACATTACAGAAAATAATGAACTTTATCACAATATGCTAATTTTTTGAGAAGGCAATCCTGGATTAACCTCATCCAATCAATGTGCACACCCTGTTTTCACTGATTGGATAGAAATCCCTCCATCAAACTGTGTGTGTGTGTGTGTGTGTGTGTGTGTGTGTGTGTGTGTGTGTGTGTGTGTGTGTGTGTGTGTGTGTGTCTGCCCTGTCTTCTCCATCCCCAGTGAGTCGTGGTGGATGGCTGCTTATACTGAGCCAGGATTCTCTGGAGGATTCTTCCTGTTAAAAGGGAGTTTTCCTCTCCACTGTCGCTGCATGCTTGCGCAGTATGAGGATTGCTGTAAAGACTGTGACACTAGTCAGCGACCGATGCAACCTGCTGGGTTCCTTATATAGGAAACTTTTTTCTGATTGGCTTAATGAGCTGACCTGTATTGGAATGTTTACCGTGTGAAGGTCCTTGAGAGGACTCTTGTCGTGATTTTGCGCTATATAAATAAACTTGAATTCAATTGAATTCATCCAGGTGAGAGGGCAGGTTCGTCGAGTGGTCAGATTCTGGTTCCAGCAACCCAACAAGGCCATTCCAGTAAACAGGACTCTACGTTATGTTAAAGGAAGAAGGTGAAGCCTCCAGGTTAGTCATTACACCTATTGGTTGTTTTATGGCTTTTATTGATAAGGAAGTTGCTTTAACAATTGATTTTTTAGTCGCAACACTGATAAAGTTCCTTTGGTTGGAAGTGACATCCTGGCAACTGTAAACAACAGCAGGAACCCTGGTGTGAACGTGAAGCTGCTCTTTGATCCTCACCTTTACCTGACCATGTCACGTCCTGTTCCTGACTTCAAATGAACATCAAGATCGTCTAGTTTCACTCTTCAGCACAGAGGAGGAGGAGGACCCGGGGGAGGAGGGGTCAGAAAGAGGAGGAGCAGGAGGAAGAGAATATGAGCTAGGGAGAAGCCACGACCATCAAACTCCCAGCAGCCTCTTCCGACCGGAAACGAACCAAAATAAGCCCTGAGCGCAGCAGAGCGATTGATCCGCGGAAATATTTATGTTTATTTATTTAGCAGACGCTTTTATCCAAAGCTACTTACAATTTATAACCTACAGGGCATGTTGTGGTCTATGGGAGTACCCGGAGAAAACCCAAGCATGCATGGGGAGAACACGCAACTCCACGCAGAAAGGCCGCAGCAGAGTATCGAACCTGCAACCTTCGTGCTACGAGGCAACAGTGCTAACCACTGCGCCACCATGCAGCCCACCGAAAATGTGCTGCTCCACCTCAATTTTTCCCGTCTTCTCCAACATCCTTCACATCACACCTCATGTTTCATTCATCCTCCTCATTTCTCCATCATCATCCATTGGATCCCACTCACCCGTGAGTCGGCTGTCGGTTCTTCTCCCGACCATCCATCCATCCATCCATCCACACACCGTAGCCAATATTCTGTTTCTAACGTCAAATAACGGAGCTATCACTCCCACAAACACTTACAAATTCAACCCAGGAGGTCCGGCTTCTGGTTCGGTCCAGGACGAGGTTCTGAGTCGGTGGAATTTCTGCCGCACCTCTGTCACATTCCGACCGTGGAGCGGCAGCAGCAGCCTGAACGGAAAACGACGCCGCTGCGGCGTGAACGCACGTCTGGACGCTGCACCGTCGATTATAAACTATGGCAAGCCAAAGGGGTCAAAAAAGCGCGTTCCAAAGGGGTCAAAAAAGTGCGTTGTGGCCGCCCAAAGCAGAATAGAAAGCCAATGGCCAATAGAAAATAACAATTTCAACTAAATTATATAAAATAACTAACCTTTCTATGTCAATAGTGATTTTATTTTGCTCAAACAGGTGTGTTTTGTGAATAACTTTGGATACACTAATGAAGTTTATCTAATTTTTTGGGAGGACGTGTGTTTTGGGGGAATTATGAAAAACAATTAGAAAAGTTGCTGTACTCCATTCAGTGGAGGCTTCATACACCTGGCAATAAAGAGGGAAACAGAAGGGTTTAATCTCAGGAATGTACAAATATTTTATTGTGAGGACTGAAGCCAAGGACAAAATTCATGTAAAAAAAACTTGGGAGTTATAAAATATATGAGGAAGTATTGTCTCTGCATTATTTTGTGTACAAAGGCAACAATCGTGACTTTTTTTTTTAGAAAATATGAAATTCCACAAAAACTGTTATGTGAGAAAAAATATTTTTATGCCTATTTGTGACACTCCAAGGCTGTGACGATTTAATCCCAACACAGGTAATCTGAACAAAAGACACAAAAAATGAATAGATTTTTTTCATTTTTAAATTTTTTTCACAATTATAGTTTTGATAATACGCCAGAAATAAAGGGGTTAAATCTCAGAAACACAAATTTTTTATATATTTTGTTAGGGCTGAAGCCAAGGATAAAATTATTTTATTTAATAAAAAAAATACAAGTGGCCGAAATGAGTTTTCTTCGAAGAGTGGCATGGGCTCTCCCTTAGAGATGGGGTGAGAAGCTCGGTCATTCGGGAGGCGCTCAGAGTAGACCCGCTGCTCCTCCATATCGAGAGGAGCCACTTGAGGTGGCTCGGGCATCAGGATGACTCCTAGACGCCTCCCTGATCAAAAACTCAACAGGGACCCCAGGGAGTCCCTGGTGAGGGTGGGCATGTCCAACCGGTAGGAGACCTAAAGGGAGACCCAGGACACGGTGGAGGGACTATGTCTCTCACCTGGCCAGGGAACCCCTTGGGATTCCCCCGGAGGAGCTGGCCCAAGTGGCTGGAGTGAGGGAAGTCTGGGTCTCTCGCTTTAGGCTACTGCCCCCGCGACCCAACTCCAGATAAGCGGATGAAAATGGATTGATGGATGGATGGATAAATAAAAAAATTGGGACATATAAAATATTATATAATATTTCTACAGGAAGTTTTGGATGTGCATTTTTTGTGCTCAAAAACATTAGAAACTTAAAAGGTTATATAAGGGTTAAAGAAAGACAAAAAAAGCTGGTTAAATAAACAAAGGAAGTAAAATGGGTAGATAAACAAAGAGACATCAATAGTGCGTCTGCAGACGGTGAGGCGCAGTGGTCAACATGACTGCAACAGCAAAATGAGACCCACGCTCTCGGCCCTCATGCCTTTGAGACCCAGAGCCTTTCCTGCAGTGATGTAACAGAGGACACACATAGTCATGTTGCTTTCATTCAGTGGCTGTTTTTTGTGTTGTGTGTATGTGGCGGCACGTCTAGTACAGCTCTAGGTGTTTATAGAGTAGTGTTATTTATCAGTTTTGCATGATTTCTTAAAGCCATATTTTTATTTGTTTACTATTAAACTCTGTGTACCATGTTCACAAACGTGTCCCTTTTCATTAGTATTTGTAACCAAAGTTTATTCTAAAAATTCCTAATAGCTTGAAATTTTACATTTTTATAAACTGTGGTAGATGCTCCATGCACCATCTTGAAATTCTGTGGATGTTAGGGACATCCATCCATCCATCCATCCATCCATTTTTGTACCTGCTTATCCATGTGTGACGCCCACAAAGTGTGGTCACATAATTTTGTTAAAGTATTTAGTGGTGTAATTTAGTAAAAGTAATCAAATAAGAATAGGAAAGTGTGGGGTGCAATACCGAGGTTCTCCACAAGGTGGCGGGGGGATGCGAGACGGCTAGTGGAGCGCTGTGTCCCATCTACCGTTATTCGGGAGCAGCAGTTCACAGAAACCACTCCATTCTGATGTCTCTGTCTCTTTTTTTTTCATTTCAGGTTAGTAAAGTGCACCCAAGCATACAAAACCACCTATATGAGGTGCGCCATGAGTTTATAAATGTAGTGACGGTTGATAGCTTATGCTAAAGGTTCAGTTATAGAGTTAATTGGACGTACATAGCCGTTAACGTTTATGCCCATAGTCTAGCCTCACAGGCAAATAGCTCAACTGGTAAGGTTGTGAGTTATCCTAGCTTTAATGGGTTTAATAGAAATTTATATGTTCAACAAATGTTTAATCGATAGAAGGGTGCTGAAGTAGGTTTAGTTATTAGAAAAAGTGGAGTTTAATGTTGTTTCGGGTCAAAAGAGTGCTTCTTGTAGCAACGGCTAGGTCACACTGGTGAATATATATGAATGTTTGATTGTGCATTGTCTTGTAGCCAAGCCTAAATGTTAATGAGGTTGTGGAAACTGTAAGGGAAAATGATTGAATACTGGTTTAGTGGAAATGAAGGGAAAGTGAATACATACACATGTAATGTAAAAGGGAATATATTATCCTAAGAAAAGATAATTAAAGATTCGGGAGCAGCAGTTCACAGAAACCACTCCATTCTGATGTCTCTGTCTCTTTTTTTGCATTTCAGGCACCCGGACGTTCCCTCAATAATTTATATTTAAGCTGTTAGTGGGGATTGTGCCGGCCCGATACCTGCAACAGGATCGTGGGGACCTGGTGCCTATCTCCAGCAGTCTTCGGGCAAACAGGTGGGGCACACCCTGGACAGGTTGCCAGTCCATCACAGGGGCAACACAGAGACACACAGGACACACAACCATTGTGACAAAAAACGTTGAACGTGAGGGTGATTTTTGGAACCAGGACATGTCAATTCCCAGAAGAATGCTCATATATGGAGAACACCCAACTGTAGCAGAACACGAGCTGGCCTTTTACGGCCAGATAAATTAGCCAGTAGTAAATGCAGGAAACAAAACCCAGAGATAGAGAAGCGGCAGGTCACGCTGTCCCAGTATTGTTACCTTAATGGTAACATGGTCGAATCCATGGATGGCAGGCTTTTGAGTGTCCTTGCAAAGAAAGGTGGCTATATTGGTCGCTGATTTGTTTTTGTATTGCTTTTGAATGTCAGAAATGTATATTTGGGAATGTGGTGATGTTATATTGGTTTCACTGGCAAAAATAAATAATTGAAATGGGTATATATTTGTTTTTTGTTAAGTTGCCTAATAATTATGCACAGTAATAGTCACCTGCACACACAGATATCCCCCTAAAATAGCTAAAACTACAAACTACTTCCAAAAACATTCAGCTTTGATATTAATGAGTTGTTTGGGTTCATTGAGAACATGGTTGTTGTTCAATAATAAAATTATTCCTCAAAAATACAACTTGCCTAATAATTCTGCACTCCCTGTATATTGTGTCTCTCTACTTCTTAATAAAGGTTAAATAGTTTTGAGTTTAGTCATGTCACATGCCAGTGATTTATAAGCCAATAGAAACCTATAAATAATCTATTGCAGTATTTTTTACCATGGTTTAAAACTTTTATCTTATTATAGAATGAATATGACAAATTATCTTTTTGTGTTTGAATGCAGGCTCAATGAACAAGTACATTCAAGGAGGAGCTCACGCCAAAAGTTCATATCAGCCCTCCACCAGCAGTTCAAGAGCTCAAGATCAGTTGTCAGCCGTCACGTCTGAACCTTCTACATCACCCAGCCCTGACCAGGAATTACAAAGTAAAGCACGCCTACAGACCGAGCACAGCCCACAGCCAGCTCTTCTGAAGGCAGAGTGAGTCCTGGATCTGAAAAAGCATCTGAAAATTACATTGGAGAAACACATGTGCCACAACCGGTGCTTTTGGTGTGTGGACCTGTTACATAGTTCTAAATAATAACAATATGGAGTTACTGTGTTGAGTATGTTATATTACGTAAATATCAATCCTACTTTTTGGAAATAATAAGCAGTTTGTGCATACAAGAGAATTAAAGAGAATTTAAGGCGAAGCGCTTGCACATACTGTGTTATTGTGTTGTTTTTTGCGGGGGTGGGGGTGGGGTGGGGGGGGGTGGGCAGGCACCACGAAGTCTTTGTGCTTAGGGCACCAAAATAGCAAGCAACGGCCCTGTCTACAACTATCCCGCAGCATTTCCTTCCTTTGCAGTTCAGCGGAGAGTCGTCGTATATCCTCTTTAAAGAGCAAGTCACTCCAAATCAACATTTTTTTGCTGATAAACTACATAAATGCATGTCTGATCGTGCTGCAGACACGTGTAGTCAATAATTCGGCACCTTAGTGCATTTTAGTTAAAATTTAAATATTCTGCCTAAACTGTCAGTGTTGCACCGTCGTCAGGTAAAAAGTCAGCACTGCATTTGAATTTAAATCTGCCGTCGCTATTGGCTAAGAGGTATACTATGATGTTAGATGGTACATTATGATGTCACAATGTCGTGAGTGTGTGTATTTGTTAGCGGCTCCACCCTCTCTGTCTGCTAGGCAACAGCATTTGTTGCATTTTTCAAACAGGAAGTGGGAGTTGAGTAAGAATCTGGTACGGGGTGACTTGCTCTTTAAGGTTCTCAATCCTTTTATTCGCTTCAGAAGGCATAAAGGCATCATTGTGGGGCAGAAGGAGAGGGAAGACACACATTCAAATAGCTTCAAGGCAACAGCGAGAACGTCCTAGCTGAACTGCCTCTGACAGATCCAAAAGATTTTTAGTCCAAATAAAAGTCCAAGAAATCAAAAAATCCCCAAAATCATAAAACTATCAAAGGTCCAACAAAATCCACTATATCCAGCAATCAGTGACAGGAAAGAAGAGGTTTTTAGAGGAACTGGAGCAGAAAAGTAGGGAGCTGAAGCAAACTCGTTCTCTGAGTCTTGTGTCTGGTCCTTACTGGTTCTCACTGTGGACAGGAAAGATCTGTGACTGAAGACATTCATCAGGACTGGGTTAGGGCTCACCATCCTGTTGGAGCTGAGACCTACTTCATGGGTACAGATCCATATGAAGATCTACCCACGACCCTGACCTTTGAACTAGAATATATCAGGATGCCTTTATGTATAATGATAGTATTTTACTGCTCTTTGGAGGAAATACTGGCATTTTTTTCATTTAAATCAATGTAAACGGGATTAAAATGACAGAAAGCTGCATGTTTCGTTTTTACTTGATTCTGAAGTGCACACCTGGGTCCAGCAGGAGGCAGCAGGTTCCTGACGGGGCGGAGCCTGCTCTGGGATTAAAGCTCCCAGAATGCACTGCGGCCGGCTGATTGTAAACAACTCATGAAGGAGACGAACGGATGATCGGTGAGTTCCGTAGCTGGCCGATCACTTTAATTGATCCGTTACTAAATGATCAGTGACGTTGGTTGTTCGGATGAGTTCTGGTTATGCTTCCGGTGACTGTCAGATTAAAAGCGGGTCTAATTGTGGACCCACAGGAAACACGTTACAATAAAATTTGTCGTCTTAACAAATGACCATGTTTGTCTTTACCTAAATGCAAAGGTCCAGCTTTAGGGACCCAGACTGCCGCCAAGCCAGCCTCCCGTTCGGAAACGGTCGTCAACCCAGCACCTCTTCGATTTTTACGTGCGCAACTACATCATCCATTACGGTACCTTCGTTCAAGAGTGCCTTTCAAAATTAAAGGGCACTTCCGGGATGTGGGCCTGAACATGCTGATGAACGGATTTCAAAGTTTTTGTTTGTGTTAAAATTGTGTGTAAAATAAAACTGCGTTTTAAATAATATGTCTATTTTAAAAAACTTTAAATTAAAAACAATAAACACATTTGTCTGCTTTGCAAATTTTATCCCATTTTTATATCTTTGGTACGTTCTTGCTGTGTTTGACTTCTAATTCCATTTTTGGTTCTTTTTTTAAAACACAGAAAAGGTTTCGCTTTACCTTGCTGACGGTTTCGTTTGCGGCTGCAAACATCCTCAGAGCTGACGCTGATGGTGGCGTCACTTCCTACTCCGTTTATCCACGGGCAGCAGAGGACGTTGTCGCCCTCTGCTGCTCGCTCTTCTGCTGCCCGCTCTCCCCTCTCCGATGATGCAGTCCCATGCACGATCCAATGTGTAAACTCCATCGTCTCTGTTCATAGTCTCGCATCCATGGATGCGGACTATGAAGTAATAAGACAGCGGGATGTGTTTACAAAATCTCATGCAAACTCTGCAATAAAACATACATAGGAGAAATCGGACGCCAACTCAAAACATGAACAATAGAACATAGAAAGGAGTGCGAGAAAGAAACAAGTTGAAGGCACACGAGCAGCAAAACAAGAAGCAGAAAGCACAATAAAGAAGTCAACCGTAACAGATCACTGCACAAGAGAAAACCATATAATGGACTGGGAAAACACAAGGACCACAAACACCGATCAACAGAAATACAAAAGATGGATAAAAGAAGCTATAGCGATAAGAAGACATAGAGGCGGGACTATGAACAGAGACAATAGAGTTTACACATTGGATCGTGCATGGGACTGCATGGACTGCATCATCGAGGAAGGGAGAGCGGGCAGCAGAGGGTGACAACGTCCTCTGCTGCCCGCGGATAAACGGAGAAGGAAGTGACGCCACCATCAGCGTCAGCTCTGAGGATGTTTGCAGCCGCAAACGAAACGTTAGCAAGGTAAAGAGAAATCTTATCTGTTATAAAAAAAAGAACCAAAAATGGAATTAAATCTTATCCCTTCCCTCCCTTTCATCCTGATTTGATAGGGCATTTCAAAGTAATATCAAAGTTGACAATAATGCCCATTTTCACTATATTCAATATCTATATATGGGTTTCTTTCTCAAAAACTGTCTGATTTCATAACACCATTCCACTTCAGTGGTAAAATACACATCGACTACTACATTAATAAGGATCTGATGTGGCATTTCAAAATAAACCGATCAAAGCTGACAATAAAGACAATTCTCACTATATTCAATGGTTAATTTCTCAAAAACTGTCTGAATCCTCAACATCATTCCACCACAGTGTTGGAGTAGTATCCAATGTGGAATTTAGAAACAAACCATTTTCAAACCTAATATCTCATCTATTTAGTCCATAGTTATTTACCTCTTCTTACAAAAACTGATGGTCAGTCTCAAGAAAGCCCATCTTTGCTATCCCAATTGAAGTATTATTCTCAAAAACAAGTCAATACAAGTAATTTGTGAATGTGAATTTAAAAAAGGGAAATTTATAATAACTTACAGTATACAATTAAGTTTCACTTTCTCAGAGATAAAAAATATATAACTTTGTTACTTAGCTTAAGATCTCACTGTTTTTAAATAACAAAACAAGTAGTCGATGTGTACTCTAACAACGAGGTGGAATGATGTTGCAGAATCAGACAGTTTTTGAAAAAGAAACCATTGAATATTGTGAAAATTGTCTTCATTGTCAAATTTGATTGAACTTTATTTTGAAATGCCACATCAGATCACGATGAAAGGGAGTGGAGTTATAAGAGTTGCAAAGTAGACAAACGTCTTTATTGTTACATTATTTGTATGAAATGCACTTCATAAATAGTTTGATTGATTGATTGTTGGGTTAGGATTAGGAATTGAAAGTATTTTTAAAAGATTATATCATTTAAAATGCAGTTTTATCTTACACACAATTTAACACACACTTTGAAATCCGTTCATCAGCATGTTCAGACACAAATCCTGGAAGTGCGCTTTTAATTTGAAAGGCACTTTTGAACAGGGCACCGTAATGCCTTATGTAGGTGCGCCCGTAAAAATCGAAGGAGGGTTGGCTTGGCACTTGTTCAGCAGTGTACTCAGACCCATTCTCGGACCATCACCCTAGATGTGCTAGAGGTGCGTGTTTTAGTTTTACCTCTGCTTCAACACACCTGATTTCAGTCAGCAGGTGATTAACTGCAGAGCGGATGAGCTGCTGCACAGGTCAATCAAGTGTGTTGGAGCAGAGAAACCACTAAAACATGCTGGATACCAGCCCTCACACCTCCAACAAGTTATCAAAATAAAAAAGAGCAGAATTTATATTTCCAGTTCCCTGGTACTACTCCAGAGACAATGCTCTGATTAATAATGGTAAGAACCCAAGGACCAACAGAGGAAAAACCCTCTTTTTAAAGCCTAGGGGGCGTCAAATCCAAGGGAGAACCAGCAGGTTTTACAGAGTTAACATAAACCCAAAGGCTGTCTGACGTAAGCGGATCAAACTGACTAAAAGTGTCTTAGCGGGGACCAGAAAGAGTCTGACAGAATCTGGGCTCTGATATAGACTATTTTGTCCACAAAAAACCTCAAAAATGCTTTGCAAGTCATCACAGAGGGCTCAATATCCACTGGTGGATGAATACTGAGGATATTATCTATTACATTAAAAAGCATCTGTAGCTTATGACGTGCCGAGAAGCTTTATCCCTCAACACATGTGGAGACAGCCAGCAGAACTACACATGCACATCTCCTTATTTAGATGCATAGAGGTGTGGAACACCAGGGAGAAGGCTGTGGTTCCAACACCAATGAGATCCCTGGTCCTCGAACAACTGAGACACTGGGAAGAATCCTGAAGCTCCAGGTCTCTGGAAGAGGACGGGAGCTTGACTCCAGCTGCAGAAAACCCAGTCGAAGACTTCAGGAGCTTCTTTTGACCTTCCCTGCTGAAAACAACAGCATAGGTGTCACTAGCAAATGTTGTGTCTCGAGGCTGGTCCAGCAGCTAAACCAGCACCAAAGCACAACGTAAAAACTACTCAGTTTTTTCAGCTGGGTTTAATTCAGGAAAAAACGGATTCTTAGAAGTTCTGCAGCACTCTCTCACCTGAGGCCCACCTGTGTTCCTGCAGTGTTTGTGCGGTACAACCTGGGGCCTGGTGTGGCCGTGGAGCTGCAGGAGGAGGCAAGTGTGGCTGAGCTCAAGGAGGTGGTGGGGAGTCGACAGGGAGTCAGTCCAGAGGAGCTCCGAGTGCTGTTTGCTGGCAGGGAGCTGCAGAGTTCCACCTCCCTGCAGGTGAGCTCCTACAACTAACCCATTTACAGGTATGCTCACCAGGTGGTTACTTCTCACATTACTCCTTCTCATCTTCTCAGGGTTGTGACCTTCCTGAGCAGAGTACCGTCCATGTGGTCCACCCTCCTCTAGGCTCTTCCTCCTCCCAGCTCCTCCTCCTGCAGGACCACCTGTCTCCAGTCAGAGAGAAGGAGCAGCGTAGGCTGACCAGGTTAGACCTGAGCTCCTCTCGTCTCCCAGCAACCTCCTCAGGACTTGCTGTTATCCTAGAGGCAAATGTGAGAGGAGGGGAAGGAGGAGCAACAGGAGGAGAAGAAGTAGAAAAAACAAGAGGAGCAACGGGAGGAGAAGTAGACAAAACAAGAGGAGCAACAGGAGGAGAGGAAGGTTGTGCTGATGAGAGAGTTCAGAGATCAGAGCAGCAAGCTGAGGCTCAGAAAGGTTGATACTCTCTGCATCCAGATGTTTGTACCTGACATGTAATGCTAGTATTTGTGAAACACATGTTGTTTGTATCCAGATGTGCGTGTCTGTAGTACTTTCTTTGTGTACTGTAAAAGCTGCAGTTCCATTCAGCCTGGAAAACTTCGCGTTCGCTGTTGGGTCTGCAAAGAGACAACGTTAACGCTCAGTAGGGTGAGTACTGCTTCTGTGTACTGAGCTTATATACTGCTAGAATGGATGAGGAATAGCAATACTCTGTAGTATTACTATATTATAGTAATATCGAACATTATGGAGTAATTGCTTTGTATAGTAATATTGAGTATGACCAGTACTACATATGTAGTATAGAAGAGTATTACCAGGGTTACCTCCATCTGGGAACCTGTCATAACAAGGCTGGTTTTCTGCCTTGTTTACGTGTGTCTTCCTCCAGAAGATGGAACGCTTAACTTTAATAAAATAATATTATTCTTGCTTATACAATGATTTTCCTCACTTTACGGGTTAATTACAATTACATAGAACAATGATTGTTTTATCTAAAGTGATTTTGATAATGTCTTGATTGCTCCCCCTGGGTCAGATCATACTTAATAACAACATCGCCTATCATAGCTATGCTGATGACACGCAGATCTACCTAGCCCTATCACCTAGTGACTGTCGGCCACTGGACTCACTCTGTCAGTGTCTAGAACAAGTGAATGACTGGACGCAGTCAAACTTCCTTCAGCTAAACAAAGACAAGATTGAAGTTATTGTCTTTGGCAACAAGAAGGTTAGGATGGATGCAATGGTCTCCTAACTGGTCTTTCCAAAAAAGCTGTGAAGCAACTGCAGCTTGTTCAGAATGCTGCTGCTAGAGTCTTAACAAGAACTAAGAGAACAGAGCATGTCACTCCTGTTCTTAGATCCCTATACTGGTTACCAGTAAACTACAGAATAGATTTCAAAATGCTCCTACTAGTTTATAAATCACTCAATGGCATGGGACCAAAATACATGTCCGATCTCATTCCTGTATACACACCCAACAGGGCTCTGAAATCCCTTGGAAACCACGGGTCAGAACCAAACATGGTGGAGATGCATTTAGCTGCTATTCAATTCAATTCAAGATACTTCATTAATCCCAGAGGGAAATTAGAGATGCTGCTCACATATGGAATCAGCTTCTCCAGAACCTCAGATGAGCCCCAACTTTAGTGTTGTTTAAATCAAAACTTAAATCTGACCTGTCCCCAGTTACTAGAGGTGTGCCCCAGGGCTCTATCCTGGGGCCCCTTCTCTTCATTGTTTACCTTCTACCACTAGGTCATATTTTCTGGAAATTTAACATTCAGTTGCAGATGACACCCAGCTCTATTTGATTCCAAACTCGATTCCCAACTCTCTCCCCCTCCCTCTCCCCATGTTTAACTGAAATTAAATCATGGTTTTCCTCCAACCTCCTCATACTTAATAGTGACAAAACCGAAATCTTACTTGTTGGTACAAAATCCATCTTATCCAAAGCTGAAACTTTTTCTCTTAGCATTGATTCCTCTACTACCTGTTCCTCCCACCAGGTTAAGAGCCTGGGTGTCATTCTGGATAGCACTTTGTCATTCACATCTCATATCAATAATGTCACTCGGTTAGCTTCGTAATATTAATCGCCATCGCCCCGCCCTTACTCCCCATTCAGCTTCTATTCTCATCCACAGTTTAGTTACTTCCCAAATAGATGACTGTAACTCACTTCTGGTTGGTCTACCTCAATAAACCCTCCACAAGCTCCGGTTAGTCCAGAACTCTGCTGCATGAGTCATCACCTGCATGCCCCTATTTCACCACATCAGTCCGGTCCTTCGGCAACTCCACTGGCTCCCAGTTAAACAGTGGATCGAGTTCAAAGTCCTACGTCTCACTTTCAAAGCTGTTCACAATTTTTGTCCTTCATATCTATCTGATCTCATTCACACTGTTTCTCTAGTCTGGTCCCTAAGATCGTCATCTTCCATCCACCTTACTGTTCCATTCTTCTGTGCCACCTCCATGGTCCTCAGATCCTTCAGATGATCCCCCCCCCCCCCCCCCCTGGAATTCTCTGCCACAAGTCATCCGGAACTCTGACTCCCTTCCCACCTTCAAATCCAAACTAACAACTCACCTTTTCCAGACTTCATTTTGCTTATGAGATAGCTTGTTATCTGATTTTTGTTTTGTTTTCCTAGGGTTTTTATGAGTGATTTGTTGCTGCTTTTAACTTTTAGCTTGACTTTTATCATTCTCGTACAGTGACCTTGAGTTCCCTGAAAGGCGCTTTAAATAAAATGTATTATTATCATTATTACTATTATTGTCATTAAAACCCTAATGTACTCATCAGCCTTTGAATGAATTGTTTCTAATGCTGCATCGTCTCCACTGTAATCTGGGATGTAATTGTTCAACCTTTATTCTGCCTTTTCCTTTTAGCTCTAAATTATAATTTTATCTGTGTATATTTTAATTTGTGTTCTCCTGTTTATGTCGTCGTGCCATTTCATGCTAATTATAAAGCACATTTAATTGCCCTGTGTTTGAAATGTGCTCTACAAATACAGCTGCCTTGCTTTGCCTTGTCTTGCCTTTACAATAATGAATGATTCAAAAATAACAGTTTGATCTTGAAATGCCTTATTTCAGATCTTAAATACACCAAATGAGTCTACTTGATGATTTAATAATGATTTCGTAATTAGACTCATTTGGTGTATTTAAGATCTGAAATAAAGCATTTCAAGAATAAACATTCATGCTGATTCATTCATTACTGTAAAGCAGTCAAGACATTATTAAATCACTTTAGATAAAACATTCATTGTAGATGAAATGGAATATAATATATAATATAATCAACCCGTAAAGTGAAGTAAATAATTTTATGAGACTGAGTAAGATTCTTTATTAAAGTTATAAAAGAGTCTCGTCTTGTGCCTGCAGATACTGAAACAGGTTGTCATGGCTTCGACCTCTTGGTGGCAAGGTCACAAACAATGTTTTCTGGTTTGGAGACCAAACAGTTAACCTGTGGCACACTGATGTAGCAGGCTGTGGACATTGTCTTAACCTTTGTATTCCAACTTTCTCCAACTCTACAGAGGATTATTACCAGTACTACATGTGTAGCATAGTTAGTATTACCAATACTACATGTGCAGTTTACCAGAGGATTACCAGTACTGCACTTGTAGTACAGATGAGTATTACCAGCACTACATGTGTAGTACAGAGATGTGTTATCAGTGGTGGTGGTGTTACTCTCCTGTCCTCTTTTTTTCAGGGTCCATCCTGCTGGGACGATGTCCTTCTTCCAGGAAGAATCCATGGCCTCTGTCAGGCCGACGGTTGTCATGGTAACACAGCGGTAAGGGGTGGAGCTTAATCAATGTTTAATTGAGAACTGACTGAACCTTACTCTCACTGGGAAATTGGGTTCAGGAATTCTACATGAAATGTGCGTCTCACCCAACATCAGAGGATGACACGTCTGTGACCCTTGACCTCATTATGATGAATATCAGAAACGTCCCATGCATCGCCTGTACCGACATAACGTAAAACACACACACACACACACACACACACACACACACACACACACACACACACACACACACACACACACACACACACACACACACACCAAACAAACTTTCCATTCCTGGCACTTTGCTACCAGGACTGTAGTTACTTCTGCTACTCCCCTACAATAACCCCCACCCCCCACCCCAACACACGTTTTAAACATTCAGGCACACACACCCTGCAGGCATGATTCTCGTCTCTGCATGGTTAAAGTTCACGTTAATGCACATGGAAATGAAGATTAACTAGAGGTAGAGGAGCAATGAATGTGTTTGACCTTCTATCATCGGGGCAACATGCCAGTGCCCAGTGTTTGGCAGCATTACGTCACGCTGCGAGAAGGGGGGAGGTTAGGAGCCAAGATGCAGAACCAGGGAGACACGAGGCAGGAGGTGGAATAAACGTAAAAAAAAAAAACCTTTATTAGGAGTGATTGTCCCAAAGTGAATCCAATAGTGCAAGAAGCCGAAACCAAAAATCCAAAAATCTTAGTATGAAAGCCAAGAGACCTAGAGACAAAGTGACCCCTTAAAGAGCAGACCTGGAGATATCCAAAAACCAAGAGATTGCCAAAAATCCTAGAGACCGGGGGGGGGGGGGGGGGGGCAAGACGACGCTGACACAAACAATGGACCGACAAACACAGAAAGACAGGACAGGGTTTTATACTCAGGGGCTGGGTGATTAGGAGGATTGGGTACAGGTGATATTAATAAACAAGAGGAGGAGCAGAATAGGGCAGGTGAGGAAAGCCCCAACTAAGGCCCTGTCCACACGTAGCCGGGGATCTGCCAAAATGTAGATATTTTCCTACGTTTTGGCCTGTCATCCACACGAAAACGGATCTTTTTAAAAACTCCGGCCAAAGTGAAGATCTGCGTTTTCTCCGTTTTGGGTGTCGGCGTGTGAACAGACAAAACCGGAGTTTTAAGGTCCGCAACGTCACTTTCCGCAACAAAAAAATGCTGACATCACGTGTGCGACCTGTGTTTGCACTAGCCGACAGCATGGATGCCCTCAGAGCTGCGCTCGCTTTATCAATTGTCCAAGCGCTTTTTGCTTGTTTGTTTTTGCAAGCGGAATTACTGCTCCTTGCGGAAGACCACAGACGAAGGACGAGGTTAAGAACGGGGGAAGTACTGCCGCCTACAGGTCTGGCATGTCCTTAACAACGTATTTATCTGGGTACGTGTGGACAGTTTTTTTAAACGAGGTGGTGTGGATGCAAGTTTTTGGAGGGGTGGATATTCGTTTTCAAAAAAACCCCGGCTACGTGTGGACTAGGTCTTAAACCTGTTAAACAAAGCTACTGAACTAAATAACTTAACACTGTAGAAATAAGACACTGGAGAACTAAAGATAATAAAATTAATGACCTAGGAGTAATAGAACCAAAAAAACTGGAAGACAGGGGAGGATGATGCCTAAAGGGAGAAACGAACTAGACAATCTACAATAACAGAAAACTAATGATAAGAAAAGTGACTAAGGGAAACATGAGGGAAACCTGGAGAGAACCTGGAGGGGGCTGGGGACCACAGGGAGGCACCTGAGGGGGGATGCAGACAAGGAGACACACGAGGAACACAAGGAGACACATAAGGGGAACCTAGAGAGGGATGGAGAACGCAAGGAGACACTTGAGGGAGACGCAGAATGCAGACCATGACACATTAATGCGTTAGCGTAGCACCACACAGAGCACATATTAGACTCAACCCATACTTATATTTCATCAGATCTTGCCTTTCTTAATATTATGGTAAACCTATTTGGATTAACATGGAATAAACACCCTGTCATTATAAATGAATGCAGAACGCCTGAGAAAGGGTGCGTCTGAAGCATGTGGGGCTCTAACCACCACCATGTCCCTGGTGTTGTCTCAGGGAGGTGGTCCTGGTCTTCCAGTGTGCAGCGCGCCATGTGATCTGTCTGGACTGTTTCTGCCGCTACTGTCAGACTCGCCTGAATGAGCGACAGTTTGTGTATCACTCTGTGATTGGGTATTCTCTTCCATGTGCAGGTGAGGGAATGGAGACTCGGGTGACGATGTGAACAGGTATGAATGGGACCGTAACGGTATGATCTTTGTGTTTCCAGCTGGCTGTGAGGACTCTCTGGTAAAAGAGTTGCATCATTTCAGGATTCTGGGAGATGAACAGGTGACGTACCGTCACACAGGATGTGGGTGCTTGGTTCAGACACTGTGTAGCATGATGTGTCCATGTAAACTACACACTTAGAAGGAATGGGTTTTATATAGCACTTCTTTCTGAAAGAGCCCCATAGTACTTCACAACAGCAATCGTACAGACACCACAGAGAACGGCAACCATAAAATACATATAAACAAAGGCCTATAAAGCATCAAGCAAAGCACCACAGAATTAAAAATCATTAAAAGCCTTCCATGAAGTCAGTAGAGACGCATTCATGCTGTGAGCAGCAGGTTTGAACACTCACCTGTGTGCTTGTTTCAGTATGGGCGGTACCAGCAATATGGGGCGGAAGAGTGTCTGCTGACCCTTGGAGGCCTGTTATGTCCCTCACCTGGCTGCGGGGCGGGACTTCTACCTCCCAACGGCATCAGGAGGGTGGAGTGTGACAGACAGCTAGGCTGTGGCTTCATCTTCTGCAGGGACTGCAGAGGACCATATCATGAGGGGGCATGTCAGGTGATGCCAGCTCCACCCACCTCACGTGACTCTTCACAGGTAAGTCACAGGAGGATGAAGGTGAGGATGATGTTGGTGATAGATGATGATGATAATGGTGAGGATGAAGGTGATGATAATGGTGAGGATGATGATGATGATAATGGTGAGGATGATGATGATGATAATGGTGATGATGGTGATGATGGTGAGGATGATGATGATGATGATAATGGTGATGATGATGATGATGGTGATGATGATAATGGTGATGATGATGATGATGATGATGATAATGGTGATGGTGAGGATGAAGGTGATAATAATGGTGATGATGATGTTGATAATGATGATGATGATGATAATGGTCAGGATGAAGGTGATGATAATGGTGATGATGATGATGACAATGGTGATGATGATGATGATGATGATGTTGATAATGGTGATGATGATGATGATGTTGATAATGATGATGATGATGATAATGGTGATGATAATGATGATTATGATAATGCTGATGATAATGGTCAGGATGATGGTGATGATAATGGTGATGATGATGATGATGATGATGATGAGGATGATGATGATGATGATGATAATAATGGTGATGATGATGATGATGATGATGATGATGATGATGATAATGGTGATGATGATAATGATGATGATGAGGATGAGGATGAAGATGAAAATAATGGTGATGATGATGATGATAATGGTGATGATGATGATGATGATGATAATGATGATGATGAGGATGAGGATGAAGATGAAAATAATGGTGATGATGATGATGATAATGGTGATGATGATGATGATGATAATGGTGATGATGATGATGATAATGGTGATGGTGATGATGATAATGGTGGTGATGATGATGATGATGACGATGATGATGATTACAATGATGATGATGATGATGATGATGATAATGGTGAGGATGAAGGTGATGATAATGGTGACAATGATGATAACAGTGATGATGATGATGATGATGATGATAATGATGATGATAATGGTGAGGATGAAGGTGATAATAATGGTGATGGTGATGATGATGATATTAATGGTGATGGTGATGATGATGATGATAATGGTGATGATGATGATGATGATGATGATGATAATGGTGAGGATGAAGGTGATAATAATGGTGATGATGATGATATTAATGGTGATGGTGATGATGATGATGATAATGGTGATGATGATGATAATGGTGAGGATGAAGGTGATAATAATGGTGATGACGATGATGATGATTGATTGAGGTTCCTTACTTTGTTCTCTGAGATTAATCTAATGCCGTTCAGGTCAGGTGATTGACTAAGCAATTACCTTTTCTGAATTTCAGGTCCAAAGATGAGAACTTCAGTCTTGTCTTGATTTAAAAGCAGAAAGTTTTGCGCAATCCAATTTTTGATGTCTTCTAGACAAGCCTGTATCCTAACTAACCGATGAGGTTCATCAGTGTTAATGGATAGATATAACTGAGTATCGTCAGCTTAACGGTGGAAGTTTATCCCATGCTGCCTAATGATTTTACCAATTGGAAGCATATATATATATATATATATATATATATATATATATATATATATATATATATATAGTAAAAAGAAATGGTCCAAGCACTGAACCCTGTGGTACTCCACAAGTAACCCTGGAGTATGAAGAAGATTTGTCACGTCCATTTACAAAATGAAATCTGTCAGACAGGTAGGATTTAAACCAGCCTAGCGCTGTTCCTTTGATCCCTACAACATGTTCAAGCCTTTCTAAAAGAACATTGTGATCAACTGTGTCAAAGGCAGCATGATGATAAAATAATTAACCTGTTACCCTTCCTGCAAAGGGTTTTGTTGTTGCAGAGGAGGCATCTCAACAGGGGAGGTGGGACCGGGCATCTCTGCTCCTCATCCAAGAGTCAACCAAACGCTGCCCTCGCTGCTCGGTTCCTGTGGAGAGAAACGGTAGCCATTACGTTCAAGTCACTCACTACTAATACACATGTAGGTGACTGAAGTGTTGTGCTGTTGCCCCATGCAGGTGGCTGCATGCACATGCAGTGCTCCCTCTGCAGAGCTGAGTGGTGCTGGCTGTGTGGCGTTCCCTGGAACCGAGAGTGTATGGGGAACCACTGGTTTGGATAACGGCACACTTTCACAAGACTAAAGCATCTGGTTCATAATTGATCACATTTGTGACCAGGTCTTCCTGTCCCCTCAGACATCCATGTGTTAATTGACCACCCCAGACCAGGATGTCAGTCAGAGTTTTCTACTATCCATGACAAGTGTTATTACTGTAGCTGACTAGAGATAGTGCATGGACAATATCAAGCCCTACCCCACCCCAGAGAGATGCTCTGTAGTTGGTCTGATTGTCCATAGTACGCTAAGACAACCCTGTGGGTCCGAGCCATGTGATCAGCCAACCTCCTACGTTTAAAATCTGAGGTTGTGATAAATGGCAACACCGTACTCTGCTATTCCTAGAGGACTGCCGACATCCTGCTGTGGGTTTCTCTGCTCACAATAATTTAAATAAAGCTGTATCTGTTTTTTGGAACAAGTCATGTTAACAATGAGTTAATAATGAGATAATGTGTTACTAGTATGTTACCAGTGACTTAAAGGACCTTTCTCAGCTGCCTAGTGACCTTTCTCAGTGGCCTAGTGGTAGAGTGTCCGCCCTGAGACTGGGAGATCAGGGGTTTCGATTCCTGGTCGGGTCATACCAAAGACTTTGAAAAAATGGGACCCAATGCCTCCCTGCTTGACACTCAGCATTAAGGGGTTGGATTGGGGGGTTAAACCACCAAATAGTTCCCGAGCGCGGCTGTGTCTGCAGCTCACCGCTCCCCCAGGGGATGGGTCAAATGCGGAGAACAAATTTCACACACACACACACCTGTGTGTGACAACTAATGTGACTTTAACTTTAACTTTAAGGTTGAATATGGAACAATAAAAAGCTATATTGTTTTTAAATAAAACCTCCACGGGGTATTTAGAGGTGTCCAGAATGAAGCTAAAGCGCCTCATTAAAAAGCTAGATTTTAATTTTAAAATAATCAAATATTGTTTTGACGGGCGCAACACTGGGTAATGTTCATATCTACCAACCAGTAGAGGGCACCAATGCGGGTTGCCAAACAGTCTGCGAGGCTGGCTCTGTGGAAAATGGCGGACTCTGTGAGTCAAGCAGCTACTTCTGAGCCCAGGAGATGTCATTATTCTTCTCAGAAGAGGAGCGACCATGAAAGATCTAAAACCAGAGTGAGTTTGGGTGAAACCTACAACAAATGGACGGACCCATTTAAAAAAATTCACGTATCAGCAGCAAACCTGGCGTCCTGATGACTGGAAGACTTGTTCTATTGCTGCAGCTACAACCTCCACACACTAGATGTCGCTTTGATGTTCCGGTTCCATACTCAACCATTAATGATGAGATTATAATGAGTTAACAATGAGTTGATAATTTAATGGGTTCATAGAATGTTAACAATGGTAAATGGCCTGTAATTGTTTAGGGCCTCTGCCAAGGTACTTTAAAGGTGTGGTTGACTGAAAAAACATTTTTAATGATTATTTCTGATTCTAACGGGTCACTCTGGGTTTTTCATGCAGGCTGAACATTAAAACAGTCTTCTACATCTATCTGCTGCATTAGCTTCTGATAGAAAATAGACAGTGAAATGCTAGGACTTGAAAATCCTCACAGATCTATGTCACACTGTGAATTTGCATTCATGGCCCTGCCCATTCTGGCTCGGACCCGCCCACAGGAAGGCTTTTTTACATTTTGTTTTGCAGCGAGGAGAGCGCAAAGTGTGCGTTGTTGATAGTGACTTTGCAACATGGCTGAACTCGTTCTGTTAGCCAATCAGAAGCAAGGTGTGTGCACATCATGAGTTTTAATATGTAATCCTGCTGTTTTCAGCCCAACTTCTGCAACTCAGAATAGGAGCATCATAGCTTTTTTTTATATTGACAAATAAGGCATTCATTTACACTAGAGAACACTGCAAATGTATTGAAGAAACGAGTAAACCACACCTTTAAAACACAGTCATTCACCCACCCACACACACATTCACACACAGGTTGTGATGAGCTACATTGTAGCTACAGCTGCCCTGGGGCACACCTATGGTAGCCAGGCTGCCACCAGCGAGAGGCACCTGGCTACAGCAAAATGGTGACTGGAGCTCCACCTTCATATTGCCCTATCATAAGTGATTCTTTGACCCCGAAAGTAACGTGACCAAAAGTTACATGCATGGCGTTAACCCAAAGTTCTGCTAGTCAGCAGACAAGTCCGCGCCAGTAGTGATGGCTACAATGGATGTAAGTCACGGTCGGATGGTTTCATTATATTTATAAGTCATTAAATTTCAATGGTAAGGTTTTCCATGCACGTCTAGCCGGGAGAAGACCCAGGGCATGTTGGAAAGACTATGTCTCTCAGATGGCCAGGGAGCGCCCTGGAACTCTCCCGGAGGAATTGGTTCAAGTGGCTGGGGAGAGGGAAGTCTGGGCCTCTTGACTTAGGCTACTGCCCCCGCAACCCGACTTCGGATAAGTGGGTGAAAATGGATGAAAGGATATTTTCAAAAAGGTATACAGTCCTCAGCATAAATGAGTCCACCCGACTACATTTGTTAGAAAACCTTTCAGAATCAACATTTTCTATCAGATACCAAACTACTAAATACTCCCACTAATGTGGGACATTGATTGCAAACAAGATTTGTTCATTTTCATACAGAAAAGTGATTTTCCTATCAAATCCATGTTACAAAAATGAGTACACCCCAATTATAGTCTTAGGCGAAAAGTCACTGCAAAAAACATCTCAGCCAGAAATGCAACTGACTTCAGACATCACACAACATAAGTGCCCACTAGGTGGGGTGGTGGGTTTAGGACTCTCCACATGTCAGTTCCTGCAGCCACGATAAGCAGCGCACGTCGCCTCAGTCTGGACAGGGTAAGGAGGTCGTTGAGGTTTAGAGGGCACAGTGATTCCTGGAACGATTCGGCGGCCTTCACAGCCCGCAGTCCCGCCCAGGCTGGGATAGGAGACAGAGTTGCCATAGCGACGGCAGCATTCCACATTTCTTCTGAGGGGGAGTATTTGCTACAGCCTTACAGGCTCAAGGCCACCAGATTCAGATTAGAAATTGTTTTGGGGCCAAACAGAGATACTTTCCTCTCTGTCTTAAAGTTCCGTTGGTCCTCAACCTCTCAAAATCCCAATAATGGCATAAATTAATCTATCCTAATCCGTGCTGATTCGTCCACTTTCTCCTTGATGGCATCCATCTTTTGTGCCAAAGCATGAATCTCAGCCAAAGTTCCAAGCTTACAATTCATCTCGACAATTATGTGAGTCTGTGAATTCACAGTGTGGTAAGCTGAATGTGTTGAAAGATAAAGAAGCAAAAATCACCAACAAGCAAATAAAGCACAAAAATTAAGTGAAGAATGGAGAAAAATAATCCTAAATAGCAAAAAACTGAAATCTGTGAACATTGTATAAAATCTGGACAGCTAAAATGTCTAAACACTTGTTATTTCAGTTGGACAAGTTTAACAGTTTAATCTTTACATTTAGCTGAACTGTGAAATTAGCAGCTAATGCTAAATTTGGTAACTGATTGCTGAAGTTGTTGAATAGCTGAAGTGAAGCTGAAACTAAGCTAAACTGGCAGATGAGCAGAATGTAGTGAAAGATGTGAAAGCAAACCAACAAGTAAATAAAGCACAAAAAGTAAGTGAAGAAACAAGCATACTAATCCTAAACAGCAGAAAACTGAAATCTGTGAATGTTGTTTAAAAAACTGGACAGCTAAAATGTCTAAACACCTGTTATTTCAGTAGGACTAATTTAACAGTTTAATTTTTACATTTAGCTGAACTGTGAAATTAGCTGAATTCAGAAACAGATAGCTGAAGCTGCTGAATAGCTGAAGTGAAGCTGAAACTAAGCTAAATTGTCAAAATGAGCTGAATGTATTTAAAGATTTAGAAGCAAAAATCACCAACAAGTGTAATAAAGCTCAGAATATAGGTGAAGAATGGACAAAAAATGCTAAACAGCAGAAAACTTTAATCTTTGAACATTGATTAAAAACTCGAAATTTGAAATGTTAAACAGCTGACATTTGAATGAGAATAGTTTAATGGGTACTTTTTTACAATTGGCTGAACTGCGAATTTAGAAACATTTGCTGATATCTGAAACTGATAGATTAACATATGTTCAGACTTGATAAGGGATGGATGAATGATTGGATGAATGAAATGACGGATGGATTGTTGGATGGATGTTAGATGGTTTACTGGATGGATGGATGGATGGATAGTAGCATGGATGGATTTATGTGTGGATGGATGGATTCTTTAGGCCAAGCCGATCGATTTGATGTCCCACTTGTGTGGGTGTGTAATTCCATTTAGCCAGAAGATGATTGACCTCTCTCAACCAATCAGGAAGCAGGGAGGGAGCGGTACCAGGTAGTACTCAAGGTACTTAGTATGTATGTATAGGTGGCCTAGTGTCCTTTTACCCCAATACTATTTTATCCCATCTCAAACACAGCACTTTTGGCTTTTTGGACATAATTTGAAGGACAATTACTGAAAAAGTAGACAGTAAAAGTAGTTTATACTTTGGTCCCAGGTAGTACTTGAGGTACTTAGTATGTATGTATAGGTGGCCTAGTGTTCTTTTTCCCATATCTCATTTCAAACATGGCACGTTAGCTTTTTGTACGTATTTTGATGTACAATTACTTAAAAAGTACACAGTAAAAGTAGTTCATACTTTGGTACCTGGTAGTATTTGAGGTACTTAGTATGTGTGTATAGGTGGCCTAGTGTCCTTTTTCCCAAATACCATTTTATCTCATCTCAAACACAGCACTTTTGGCTTTTTGGACACACTTTGAAGGACAATTACTGAAAAAGTACATGTGACGCGCACAAGGTGTGCAGTCACATTTGTTTTTCTTATTTTTGTAATGAAAGTTAGCCGATATCTTGGTTGCTGCATTTGAGTTAGGGGAGCATGAGAGTTCTGGCAGGAATGAATCATTTCTCTGGTTAAGTTCCAAGTGCATATGGTTGTGGAGTATGCCACCAGGGGGCGGTGTAATGAGCAATTGTGGGTTCGCCAGGCGGGGGCACCCTTCTTGTTAACATGCGGCAGCTCTCCTCATACAAGGAAGCAAGGCTGCATCAAACCCAGTTAACTGCCTGCTGTCTCCTCATTTCTCCTGTTATTCAGGACATTTCTTCTGAGGCGGGTCTGCCCCCTAGACCGGACCCGTAACATACACAGTAAAAGTAGTTCATACTTCGGTACCAGGTAGTACTCGAGGTACTTAAGATGTATGTATAGGTGGCCTAGTGTCCTTTTTCCCAAATCTCATTTTATCCTGTCTCAAACACGGCATGTTAGCTTTTTGTACATATTTTGAAGTACAATTACTTAAAAAGTACACAGTAAAAGTAGTTCATACTTTGGTACCAGGTAGTACCATCGACATATATACTGGACAATTCTTTTCCATAGGCTCCAATAACGCGTTTTGTGCCAAAATGGGAGGTGGCCAACACCGCCATTTTGACCGTGCCACAGGTTCTGTCAAGCCCAGACAATTCCACAAAAGGGAAGACAGGTGGAGCTAAGGGTGGGGCTGTAAGGCTGGGATCAACTGACGACACCCGGTCGAACTAGCTACAAGCTAACCTGAATCTAACCCAAAGCTAACGCGGAGGTGGGAGCTAAGCTAACGGAGGTAGCAACTTAGCTACAACCGGAGTTAACTGTGCACAACACCAGAGCTTCTGAGATAGAGATACGCTGGGCTGACCGCTGGGTAAAACCGGGTGGAGCACAGAGGTCTCCCGAAAGCTGCTGAAAGCCGGCAGCCTGCGCAGCAGACAGAAGTCGCTATCAGACAGAGATGCGCCGAGCTGCGGGGAGGGGAGAACTACAAGCCGGCCGGCAGCCCGCGCAGCAGACAGAAGCCACGATCAGATAGAGATGCGCCGAGCTGCGGGGATTAATCTGCCCATCATTTGTGTTGAGAGATCAGCAGTCTTTGGATCAACAAAGTGTGACTACTTTGATAGTGGAAAGTGTATTTATGGCTTATTTTTGTGCATTTAAAGTTCAGCCGCCATTGATAGTTGTTAAAATTTGTAAAACCTGTGCATATGAAACAAAAAACGCTTTTTGTTTATCAATTTATTGTGAAATAACGGAAGTTGTGCTTGCTCCCTTTCCTGTTGGGCGGTTGTGATTTCTGTCCATTTACTGCGGAGGTGCTTCCTTCGTTCGGCAAAAATAGAATCAATCCTATTTTTGCCGGATGGCGGAACGGCGGGCGGCGCACTGCGCCGCACGACCGCCGTAGTGAAACAGCTCTGATTGACTACAACGGGACCGATTTTACTGCAGAGTTCATGCCGGAGCGGAGCGGAGCGGAGGTAGTGGAATTTTAGAGTTAGTCTGGCTTGCAGGCCAGACCGGCAGTCCCGCTTTTGTTTGCGTTCCTTCCGCCTCCTACAACGCGTAACTGAGCCAACAACGATCCACGGAGCGTCCAAAGGCCTTGCTATATTCGGAGGGATGTTGTGGGAGCTTTGATACTCCTTTGTCATGGACATCCGGCAGTTGTATCCGATGCTGTATAGTTCCCCTCGGTCATACGTGAGTTTCGTTCCGCAATAGTCCATAATAAAACATAAAAAGACGGCACAACACATGGTAAAAAGCCTAAGTGAAGAGCTCAGATCCGCTATATCTGTGCGTGCCGCCATCTTGATCAAGCTAGCTCTATCACCTAGGGACTGTGGTTCCCTAGACTGACTCTGTCAGTGTTTGGAGCAAGTTAATGAGTGGATGCAGTCAAACTTCCTCCAGGTAAACGAAGACAAGACTGAAGTTATTGTCTTTGGAAGTCTGAAGGATAGGATGGAGGTTATTGCTCAGCTTGCTCTTTGAATAATGTTCTTATGCTGCACCTTTTGCCCTGTATTTGCTCCCTCTTTAACTTTGTTTCTTTTTCATTTTTAAATTGTATTTTATGTCATATTGATTTTAATGTTCTTTATATTCTTACTAATGGAAAGCACATTGAATTGCCTCTGTGTATGAAATGTGCTATATAAATAAAGCTGCCTTGCCCCAAAATGCTTTTTTAAAAAAATATCTAAAGCAGTTATTTTTGGTTGGTTATTTACTTAACAGTTGCAGCTTCGATGGCTAGCAGGTAGTAACTCGCTTACATATTTAATTTAACCAGTAGATACACAATTCGAAAAGTAAAAGGCTCATTATACAATTGTACAAAATATAATGTTACAAAGGCCTCTGCACAGCCCTGCCCCTAGTGTACTAAATGTGTAGTGCAGTGAGGACAGACTTGGTTCAGAAGAGCGAGGCGGACGCTGATATCACTCTCCTGCGCTGCTCAGGATGGCCAATTCAATTTGAATTATGAAACATTTTATGCAGGGCGGGCATGAAAAAGAAAAAAGCAGTTCCCCTTTCTGTATCCTTTTCATTAAGTCACAGAATGGGCAGTGATGAAGAAAATTGAATAGCAAATTATAGGATTGCTTCTTCATTTTTTGTATGTCAGATTTGGCAGTTCTATAAGGATAATGAAAAAGCATTTCTGCTAATGCATAATAATTAGAAGGATGTTACACATTTGCTTCCATAAATACCATGGTAATTAGTTAAAAACGAGTTAGCTGAACAAGCATCAATCGACCGACAAGACACTGAGACTAGACAGGGCTTAAATAAACTGGGGCATGATGGGAGGCAGATGAGCTGCAGGTGTGTGGGGAGAGGACCAGGTGAAAGCAATACGTAATCAGGGAGGGAACTCACATGACCTAAGAAAAACCCTAAAAACAAGAAAAGCAACCACATAACTAATATTCTAATGGGAAGGAGAACTACAAAGACTGGTGGGACAAAACGTATAAAAGAGACTAATAAAATGAAAGGCTGAAACTATAAACACTGCAGAGGGGTGACTGGCTGCAGAGGGGTGACTGGAGAAGACTAAAGGAACACAGGACCTGAGACATATATTTGGAAGGCTGAAGACCAGGGGACACATGAGGAACACAAAGAGACACATAAATGAGATGCAGACAAAGGACACACGAGGGCGCTATGAAACACAAAAGGAGGACCTGGAGTGGGAACTGGAGGGGCTGGGGAACAAAGGGACACAGAACATGACACCCTGTTTTAGGCGTAGGGTGAGGTGTAGAGGTAAGATGTGAATAGAATTTTTGTTACAGTTAGGTTTAGGAATAAAGTGGTGATGGTTAGGGTTAGTCATAAATGCAGTTACTAAAATAAATGGAAGTCAATACAATGTCCTAATATGGATAGAAAAAGACCGTGTGTGTGTGTGTGTGTGTGTGTGTGTGTGTTTTATTTCCCTGCATCCAAACTAAAACTTGTTGAGTTCATTACAAATCCGCTTGAATCCTTCAGTCATAAACTAAACCGCGGACCTGGATCAGGACCATCCCTACTCCACCCACTGATAAGACCAAGCTTTGGTCAGGCAGCCACCTGACAATCGTTAGAAGACCATGTGAGAGTCAGTTCAGTTCTTCACAACAACAAAGTGAAGCCAGGTTCTGGTCAGAGATGGTTCTGAGGTAGGTTTCATTACTGAACCTGGATGATGGACCAGAAACACCAGATGCAGCTCAGATGGTCTGGTGGTTTTAGTTACAGATCCCAGAGCTCTCTGTGTTCCTGCAAATAAAACACATCCAAAAGTTCTACCACAAGTCATCTTTGGAGAACTCCGTGGAACCAGGATGAAACAGGACAGCAAAGTCAGCTGGACAGGTCTGCAGAATCATGGCTTGGAGCTGGAGATGACAGAAACAACCAACACAACCCAGGTGAGTTTGAGGGTTTATTCCCATCTGCTGATTAATCTGATCAAGCCTACAACTCCTGGTGCAGTCCGGATCTCTTCTTGTCTTCCTGGCTTCCCTCAACAAGTGGTTCTGGTTTGGCGCTTCTCCAGACTGTCAGGTCTGAAGAAGGTGTTCTTTGGACATTGGCTAATTTTTCTCTCTTGTCAGCAGCCTGTCACAGAGACACAAACACCAAAGAGAACTCAGTTTAACGGGATCATTGAAGGCGTGACTGAGAATAACCAAAGTGAAAATGAATGAAGAAAGTCTTTGAACTGATTAAGAACACTGGATGTTCTCAGGTCTCTATTTATTTCCAGAAATGTGGATCTAAAGCTCAGCGGACTCCTCCAGAGACCAGATCCCCTGGGTTCATGGCTGCACCTCACTGGGCATCTTACTCACAACGCCGCTGGAGGCAAAGCAGAAGAAACTTACTTGGTAAGTGCATTAGCTTTGGTTCTGTCCACTCAGCTGCTCAGCATTTGGGACTCAGTGGCTTTTTTCCTTTTCAGGAGTCCATCTGGAGGCTAGGTACAGCGGCCTGGCTGAGGCTGAGCAGGACCAGAGGGATGAAACGGACACCAAAAACATCAGCCAGCAACTCAATGAAAAACTCCTGGGTCACTTCAGAGAGCTGGCAGCTAACAACCAGGAGACCGACCAGGTAGGACTAACCAGGTTTGACTGACTAGATAGGACTGACCAGGTAACTCTGACCAGATAGGACTAACCAGGTAGGACTAACGAATTACTTATTCACAGGGATGCAGTCATGTATTTAATTATTGAGATATGCGATTGTTTGTTTTGCACTATCCTACATGGTACTACTGTAGATCATTTTTTAATGTATATATTGCATATCATATTTCTATTTCACCTGTTCCTTTGTCTCTCCGACTGCTTTGAGCATGTACATGACACAAGAATTTCCCTCGGGATAAATAAAGTTGTTCTTATCTTATCTTAACCAGGTCTGACTGACTAGATAGGACTGACCAGGTAACTCTAGGACTACAATGACAAATGTAATCACTTACGCAATGAAGGACTCTCCACATGGCTTGTGAAGTCACAGTGTGTGTGTGTGTGTTCAGGTGGATTTTCAGTTCCTGGACCATGTGATCGCAGATGGAGCTGATCCAAACAGCTCGGACAGATTTGGTCAAACTGTCCTGCATGAGGTGATGTGTCTGATGTTTCTTCTGCTTGGGTTTCCTGTGATGTAATTACTGGCGTGTATACGTGGACGGGGGTCTCCAGGTACCTGTGTTTTGTCTCCTCATCTGAACTCAGGTGTGTGTGTGTGTGCGTGCGTGCGTGTGTTCAGATATCCAGGGCTTGGAGTGTGGATGTGATGAAATTCTTTCTGGACCGGGGCGCAGACCACCTTCGCTCAGACCAGTTTGGAGTTACTCCTCTTCATGTGGCCTCTGCGCTCGACTATGAGGATATGGTCTGTTTCTTGCTGGACCAAAAAGGTTTGTGTGGTGGTCTCCAGGGTCAACACTGAGCAGACCTCTACCCTTCAGGGAGAATAATAAAAGTGCAGTTTTGTGTTTCTGTGCTTTATGTCAGCTGATCTAGGGGCTTGCACCATCCTGGACCAGCAGACTCCTCTCCACTATGCTGCAAAGAATGATGCCGTTGGATCCATCAGACTCCTGCTCCAGGCTGGAGCCTGCATCACCTGCACCGACTACAAAAACAGAACACCTCTTCATCTTGCCGCCAACATGGGTACTGCGGACTTCATCACCAGTGACAGTGGCGTAGCAGATTTTAGCTAGTCCCAGTGCAAAATCATTTCCCCGTGTAAACTTGTCTTCTGTTGGTTTGCACTTACACTAGAGGTCCTCTAGTTCCTGGTTTCTCTTTTAACCCTCCCACTGTCTTCATTGGTGACCCCGCAAAGAAAGTTGACCTTTGCGCAGGAATGATGGTTTATCCCTTGAGGTCCATGTGGCAGGGGTGAGGTGGTGCTCATTCCTCACCCCTGCACCCAAGAAGACAGTGAGAGGGTTAAACCTCGTGTAATAAACCCCTATGACTCTTTTATGACAAGTGCAAGGATTGGGCCCTTTAAACAGAAGAAGTGTTACGGCCCGACCACACAGGTTTCCTATGGGGACGTAACAACAACAATAACACCAACATTTTTTGGCCAACATTTTTATCTGAGTAAAATTTTGTTCACATTTATGAGTCGACTAATCTGTAATAGTTAGAGTGTTTTTTTTTCTTTTAAATCCCACGAAAGAGAAATTTGGGTCTCAGAAGGCAAAAGTTGAATTTAACATAATTTAACATCACCTGGTCCCTGGCCCATGAACAAAAATACTATAGTTTAGCCAGAACGTCTGACCCAGCAGCACCATGTTGTTACGAGTTCTTATATCTCTCTGTCCACAAAAAGGAGACGAGTCTGATCATCATCATCAGTAGGCTACCTGACAGTGGCTGTTTCTCACAGCTGGTATCCACCCTAAACCAGTTACCCCAACATGTTCATGACAATCCCAAATGCACTCGAGTTACGTTTCATTAGCAAACACACAGAACACACCATGGACCATTAATGCGTCGTCACGTTTCTGATTTGAGATGCGTCCTCATCTCTGCTGTTGCAGCTCTGGCTGGCTGACTCTCTCTCTCTCTCTTCTGGGCCCGCGGGCCCTGTTGTACCGCACCGGTTGCACCAGATGCACCATACACCAGTGACATCACAGTTAACCACTGACATCATGGTGACTCTGCTTGCAGAGCGAGGTGAAGCAGCTCGTGTCCTGTTGGAGCTCGGGGCAGACGCAAGGGGGAAGGACTCTGATGGACAGCTTTGTATAACCGCTCTGATTGGTCGAATGAGTCATGTGGTAAAGAAGGACATCCCACTGTGGGGCATCAGCTCAATAATTGGCTTGTCTATGTTGTAGTGACATGGTAGTCTTGTGTTTAGGCTCAACTGGCACTTGGTCAGTTCCACGTGACGGACAAGATGACCAGGCAACAGTACTTTTACCTGAACCTGCTGGAACCAGAACTACACTCAGCCGAAGACAGTCTGCAAGGTACCATAGTCCGATACTTCATCTTAGGTTATCAGACTGTCCAACATGTCTCCTGGACTCAGAGCGTCCAACTATGGTTTCTGTGTTGCAGAAGCTGGAATGACAGAACTCACCTCTCCAGTAAGACTGAACATTACTCATGGAAAAGGATGGAATTGAAAGGAAACATTACAGATTACAGACAAAACATTACAGATAACAGATTAGATATTACAGATTACAGACTAAACATTACAGATAACGGATTACATATTACAGACAACACATTACAGATAACAGATTACATATTACAAATTACAGGCAAAACCTTACAGATAACAGATTACATATTACAGATTACAGACAAAACATTCAGATAACAAGATTACATATTACAGACAACACATTACAGATTACATATTACAGATTACATATTACAAACAAAGCATTACAGATAACGGATTACATATTACAGATTGCAGACAACACATTACAGATAACGGATTACACATAACAGACAAAACATTAAAGATAACTGATTACTTATTACAGATTACAGACAACACATTACAGATAACAGATTACATATTACATATTACAGACAAAACATTACAGATAATGGATTACATATTACATATTACAGACAAAACATTACAGATAACAAATTACATATTACAGATTACAGACAACACATTACAGATAACAGATTACATATTACAGACAACAGATTACAGATAAAAGATTACATATTACAGATTACATTTACAGACAAAATATTACAGATAACGGATTACATATTACAGATTGCAGACAATTCATTACAGATAACGGATTACACATAACAGACAAAACATTACAGATAACTGATTACATATTACAGATTACAGACAACACATTACAGATAACAGATTACATATTACATATTACAGACAAAACATTACAGAAAATGGATTACATATTACAGATTACAGACAAAACATTACAGATAACGAATTACATATTACAGATTACAACGGTATTACAGATTACAGATACCACATTACAGATTACATCTTACCTATTACAGACACCACATTACAGATAACAGATTACATATTACAGACAACACATTTCAGATAACAGATTACATATTACAGATTACAGACAACACATTACAGATAACAGATTGCATATTACCTATTACAGACACCACATTACAGATAACAGATTACATATTACAGATTACAGACAACACATTACAGATAACATATTGCATATTACAGATTACAGACAACACATTACAGATTACATATTACCTATTACAGACAACACATTGCAGATAACGGATTACATATTACAGATTACAGACAACACATTACAGATAACAGATTGCATATTACCTTTTACAGGCACCACAGTACAGATAACAGATTACATATTACAGATTACAGACAACACATTACAGATAAAAGATTACATATTACAGATTATAGACTACACATTACAGATACAGTGGAAAGTATTCAGACCCTCGCTATTTTTTCACTCTGTTATATTGCAGCTGTTTGGTAAAATCAGGTAAATTCCTTTTTCCTCATTAACGTACACACAGCACCACAAACTGTCAGAAAAACACAGAATTTTAGAAACCAATGCATTTTTATTTTAAAGTAAAATAAAATAAATGCCCAGCCCGAACCGGATACATGGGCTCGTCCAACTGTGGACCCACCACCCGCAGGAGGAACATGAAGGGTCCGGTGCAATGCGAATCGGGTGGCAGACCAAGGCGGGAGCCTTGGCGGTCCAATCCCCGGACAAGAAAACTAGTTTTTGGGACATGGAACGTCACCTCGCTGGCGGGGAAGGAGCCGGAGCTTGTGGCAGAGGTTGAGCGGTACCGGCTAGATATAGTCGGACTCACCTCGACACATTGCATTGGCTCTGGAACCCGAGACCTGGAGAGGGGTTGGACACTCTACTTTGCTGGAGTTGCTCCGGGTGAGAGGCGGAGGGCTGGGGTTGGCTTTTTGTTAGCCCCGAGACTCTCTGCCTGTGTGTTGGGGTTTACCCCGGGGGACAAGAGGGTAGCTTCCTTGCGCCTTCGGGTCGGGGAACGGGTCCTGACTGTTGTTTGTGCTTATGGGCCAAATATCAGTTCAGAGTACCCACCCTTTTTGGAGTCCCTGGGACGAGTGCTAGATAGTGCTCCATCAGGGGACTCCATTGTCCTGCTGGGGGACTTCAATGCTCACGTGGGCAATGACAGCTTGACCTGGAGGGGTGTGATTGGGAGGAACGGCCCACCTAATCTGAACTCGAGCGGTGTTTTGTTATTGGACTTCTGTGCAAGCCGCAGTTTGGCCATAACGAACACCATGTTCGAACATAAGGATGCCCACCGGTACACTTGGTACCAGGGCAGCCTAGGTCACAGGTCGATGATAGATTTTGTAGTCGTATCATCTGACCTGCGGCCGTATGTTTTGGACACCCGAGTGAAGAGAGGGGCGGAGCTGTCAACTGATCACCACCTGGTGGTGAGTTGGATCAGATGGCAAGGGAACATGCCGCGTAGACCTGGCAGACCCAAACGCATAGTGAGGGTCTGCTGGGAACGCCTGGCAGAAGAACCTGTCAAGACGGTCTTCAACTCCCACCTCCGGCAGAGCTTTGACCACGTACCGAGAGCAGTGGGGGACATTGAGTCCGAGTGGGCCTTGTTCCACTCTGCGATTGTCGAGGCGGCTGTTGCTAGCTGTGGTCGTAAGGTGGCCGGTGCCAGTCGTGGTGGCAACCCCCGTACCCGCTGGTGGACACCAGAGGTTCGGGGAGCCGTCAGGCTGAAGAAGGAGGCCTACAGGGCGTGGCTGGTCTGTGGGTCTCCGGAGGCAGCAGACAGGTACCGGATAGCCAAGCGGGGTGCAGCAGTGGCAGTTGCCGAGGCAAAATCTCGGGCGTGGGAGGAGTTTGGTGAGGCCATGGAGAAAGACTATCGATCGGCTCCAAAGAGGTTCTGGCAAACTGTCCGGCGCCTCAGGAGAGGAAGGCAGCAACTCGCTCACACTGTTTACAGTGGGGATGGGGAGCTGCTGACGTCAACTGAGGCTATAGTCGGACGGTGGAAGGAATACTTTGAGGAGCTCCTCAATCCCACCAATGCGCATTCCGAGGAGGAACCAGAGCTGGGAGGCCTGGGGATGGACTGTCCGATCTCGGGGGCAGAAGTTGCTGAGGTAGTCAAACAACTACACAGCGGCGGAGCCCCGGGGGCGGATGAGGTTCGTCCTGGGTATCTCAAGGCTATGGATGTTGTAGGGCTGTCATGGTTGACACGTCTCTACAACATTGCGTGGTCATCGGGGGCAGTTCCTAGGGAGTGGCAGACCGGGGTGGTGGTCCCCATCTTCAAGAAGGGTGACCTGAGGGTGTGTTCCAACTATAGGGGGATCACACTCCTCAGCCTCCCTGGAAAGGTCTACTCCAAGGTACTGGAGAGGAGGGTCCGATCGATAGTTGAATCTCAGATAGAGGAGGAGCAATGTGGTTTTCGTCCTGGCCGTGGAACTGTGGACCAGCTCTATACCCTTGCAAGGGTGATGGAGGGGGCATGGGAGTTTGCCCAACCAATCCACATGTGCTTTGTGGATTTGGAGAAGGCTTATGACCGTGTCCCCAGGGGCACCCTGTGGGGGACGCTCCAGGAGTATGGGGTGGGTGGCTTTCTGTTAAGGGCCAGTCAGTCCCTTTACCAGAGGAGCGTGAGTTTGGTCCGCATAGCCGGTAGTAAGTCGGACCTGTTCCCAGTGAGGGTTGGACTCCGCCAGGGCTGCCCTTTGCCACCGTTTCTGTTCATCACTTTTATGGACAGAATTTCTAGACGCAGCCGTGGTGTGGAGTGTGTCGAGTTTGGTGGCAGGAGAATCTCGTCTCTGCTTTTTGCGGATGATGTGGTCCTCCTAGCTTCATCCAGCTCTGACCTTCAGCTCTTGCTGGGTAGGTTCGCGGCCGAATGTGAAGCGGCTGGGATGAGGATCAGCACCTCCAAATCTGAGACCATGGTTCTCGACCGGAAAAGGGTGGCTTGCCACCTCCGGGTCGGGGGAGAGGTCCTACCTCAAGTGGAGGAGTTTAAGTATCTCGGGGTCTTGTTCACGAGTGAGGGTAGGAGGGATGAGGAGATCGACAGGCGGATTGGTTCGGCGTCTGCAGTGATGCGGACGCTGAGCCGATCTGTCGTGGGGAAGAGGGAGCTGAGCCAGAAAGCCAGGCTCTCGATTTACCGGTCGATCTACGTCCCAATCCTCACCTATGGTCATGAGCTTTGGGTAATGACCGAAAGAACGAGATCGCGGATACAAGCGGCCGAAATGAGTTTCCTCCGTAGGGTGGCCGGGCTCAGCCTTAGAGATAGGGTGAGGAGCTCGGACATTCGGGAGGGACTCGGAGTAGAACCGCTGCTCCTCCGGATCGAAAGGAGCCAGTTGAGGTGGTTTGGGCATCTGGTCAGGATGCCTCCTGGACGCCTCCCCGGGGAGGTGTTTTGGGCATGTCCTGCCGGCAGAAGGCCCCCGGGTCGACCCAGGACACGTTGGAGAGGTTACATCTCCAATCTGGTCCGGGAACGCCTTGGGGTCCTGCCGGAGGAGCTGGTGGACAAGGCCGGGGAGAGGACGGCCTGGAGCTCCCTAATTGGGATGCTGCCCCCGCGACCCGGACCCGGATAAGCGGAGGAAGACGACGACGACGACGACGACGATAAAATAAATGTACATATATTTTTTTAGGGAAGTCATTTGAGTGGGTGGGCCCTGGTTAAAGTGGGTGGGCCTAATAGCCACACCCCTGATCTGTGTGCAGCAGGTACCAAAAAGCAGCTTCACCCTGTTTGGTTTTGGCCCGGGGTTATACTAGGATCTCTGAGCGCTGCTGGTTGTAGACACTCTTAGATTACAGGTATTACATGTGAACAGATTACAGACTACTCTTCTGTGGTCACCAGCTGCAGGTCGTCGTTCAGGAGGGAAAACTGGACCTCATCATGAATCCTGTCTTTCTCAAACTAATCCAAGTCAAATGGAAACTCTATGGCAGGTAAATGTTTCTGATTGGTTGTATTTGTTTGACATCATCACTGTTGTGCTTCATGTCTGTTTGTATTGTGCTACAGGTTTGGTGCATGGCTTCTACTTGTCCTCAACTTCCTGCTAAATGTTTCTTGGACAACCGTCTCCATCTCTGTGTCTGTCAACCGACAGTCTCCTGACCGCTATGTCTTTCCCCAGGTACTGTGTCTGTCTCTCAGCTGCGTCTGATCGGTCTGTCTTCCCTGTCTTTACCTATCTGACCTGGGTCTTCCTCAGGACTGGTGGCGTGTTGTCCTGGTGGTCCTGGCACTCCTGCTCACCTTGGGTGAGGTGTGGAGGGAGGTGCAGGATATCCTTCATTCAAAGAAGAAGTTCCACTTGAGGCAGCAGTGGATGGAACGTCGTCTCCAAGAGGACCTGAAGTGCTCACATCCTATGTGGCCTCAGGTGGGATACCTTTTCCGATGACATCATCAAGACAAATGTGTTTACTGTGTGCAGGTAGTTTCAGATTCAAAGCTCTGTTTCACTCATCCCTGGCCCCACTGAGTCTGAAGCAGTTTTCCTGATTCTGCTCTGGTTTTGGCTGCGGAACATTAGTTTATCCAGCAGCAACTAATAACTGTCTGAATCACTTTAGCATCATGAAGGAACCTGAAGGTCCTCTTATACAAATATGCCAAGTGGACCAGCCACAGCTCAGGCAATTACCTTTCTGACAGCATGGACCATGGACACTGCTGTAGGATCTGTCTGTGAGAGGCTAGAAAAAGACCATGTGTGTTTGCAGGAGAGACGTTTTCTTCTGGATGAGACTAAACGGATTCACAAGATGAGGGGAAGCTATAGCCAAGATCTGTGGTACGAACACACACTCTGGCATCTGTGTAAATGGCCTGTATTTGTAAAACACCTTCTTAGGGTTCTACAACCCCCCAAGGCGCTTCACAACACTATCAGTCACACACACATTCACACGCTGGTGGGGATGAGCTGCGATGTGGCCACAGCTGCCCTGCCGAACTCTGACGCCGCTGGTCTCTCCGACCACCTGTGTGAAGAAATTAGTGTCCACATCAAAGGACTTGAACCAGGTTGTAGTCATGACTCATGACAGATCTGACTCTAGGATTTACTCTAGTCACATTGCTCGCTTGTTCTTGTGATGGTTGCACTAGAGTTCCAAGATGTTACATTTGAGCATCAACATTGCAATGCACATGAGCATTATAGTCACATCGCAGGTCCCACGGCAGTGACGGGCTCAACATGCTTTCATCTAAAGTTAAAGGTACCAGACATGCAGCAATCCACCGATCCCAATCCTTCCTGTGGTAGCAGACCACAGGTAGGGATGGGTACCTTTGACATTTGAATCGATTCGGTACTAATTCCCGGTACCTAGGAATCGATACCGGTACTTAACGGTACCAATTTTCGATACTTTTGAGTGTTTATTATTTTAATTCTATTTTATAATTAAATATATTTTTTTCTCAATATATAACAATATTTGATAAATATCACAATAATTAACATTCAACTGTTTGTATTTTAACATCGTCCTTGTAGTTTTATAAGCTGAAAATTAAACTGAAGCAAACATCTTTACTGTGAACTAAATTTACTGTGTATCATCATTCCTTTTACCGTCCTTTGATTTTTCCTACTGGGAAGTTAGAATTTCCGAGGAGAAAGCGAACGCACCATTAGCTGACAAAAACGGTCAAACGGTGGCAATGGAAGCTAACATATCAAGCTAACGTTATCTTAAACAGTTTATTTAGCTGCTGGAGCAGATTAAAACGATGATGCCTCACACTTAGATCATTGTCCCTGGTTTCATCTTCACCCAATCACGCGTCGCATTTAGTAAAGTGAAGCCAAACTTTAGAGCGCGTTCATGTTCTTCTAGTCAGAAATTCGGAGTTCCGAGGAGAAAGCGAATGCACCATTAGCGAAACGGAAGCTAACATATCAAGCTAGCGTTATCTTAAACATTTTATTTACCTACCGGAGCAGATTAAGATGAGGATCTCTCACTTAGATCGTTGTCGCTGGTTTCATCATCACCCAGTTACCCATCACATTTAGTGAAGTGGACCCAAGCTTTAGCTTGCGTTCTTTCTACCATGCTGCTCTGTTTACAACTGGCTCGCAGCAAGTGATGACATAACGCTCTTGCGCATGCGCAGCTGTCTTGGCAAGTTCTCGTTATGAAGGACGGGTACCGAAACGAGGCACCGTTTGAAATGACCTGAATCGGTGCTCGGTCGGTACTATGGAATTCGGTCGGTACCTTAAAAAGTACCGAATTCGGTACCCATCCCTACACAGGTGTGTGTGTGTGTGTGTGTGTGTGTGTGTGTGTGTGTGTGTGTGTGTGTGTGTGTGTGTGTGTGTGTGTGCGTGTTGTTTTTACCTCATTTTCAGGAGGTTTCCCTAGTTTGTTGGTGGCACTGAGCTGCTGTAATTTTGAAGTTACGAATAAACCAAGAAAGCTAAAACCTGCCTTTTTTTCACCAACAACAAACCATATTAGCTAGCACACTAGTTATATGGTTACAAAGGTGCATCACACCAGGAATTATGGCAGAAAAGATGCAGATAACGGGTCGAAAACATAAAAATGAACAAGCATTGTACATACCTAAATTTTGGATGTAGGGCTTAGGGTGGAATGGGAGTTGAACCTTAAAAATACAGAGCAATGTTCTCTTAGACTCAGTGACTTGATGCAATTTGCTGGGTTCCTTATATAGGAAACATTTTTTCTGATTGGCTTAATGAACTGACCTGAATTGGAATGTTTATTACGTGAAGTGCCTTGAGACGACTCTTGTCGTGATTTGGCGCTATATAAATAAACTTGAATTGAATTGAATAGAACAAGTTCCCTCTTAGTCAAATGTGTTAATTCTCCAAAAGTTAAATGTACAACTGATTATTAAATGAGAATAATTTGATTAAAACTTGATAATGCTGAACCACATTGATTGCCTATAATTGTGGCAGAACGTGCACAGCTGCGGGGGAAAGGGAGACGACAGACCTGGTTGACGTGTTAGGTGCGGCAGAAGAGACAGCACTGGGGCGAGAATACACAGGTTCTGCAAATGACTGACCAGACTTGTTCTAGATGTATTCATAGAACACGGACAGAAGGCCCTCCATTCCCTAAGAGAGGCGCCGACTGCAGGAAGCAGCAGAGCAGCAGAAATAGTAAAGAAAATGTGCAGAAGGGTGGAAGCTGGTGTGTGGTGCTTTCTGTGTGACAATGTGTAGTTTTTATCGTTAATCTCTGGAAATATCCATCAAAATGTTGTTGAAAATGAACTAAATGATACACAGTTGTTGAAAAATATTGACTGCTTCTTAACATATAACCATAAAAATCAGGTCTAAAGTACATGGGAGCAGGTATCTCTGGGCAATGCCATGTTAGATGTTATGTTTTCTTCTACGGGAGCCCGTGAGGACAAAATGTATTTCCTGATTTGTAACAAACGGTTACAAAAACTATGACCATTCATAAACATTGTTGCCAGCAATGAAAGGAAATCTGGTGTGATTGTCAAATTGCTGAAGTTTGCACTCCCCAGGGCAAACAAACATTGTTCACAAATCAGTCTAAATGTGTGATAGTGAGCACCTGCGCTTTGCTGAGATGATCCATCCCACCTCACAGGTGTGCCACATCATGATGCTGATCTGACATCATGAGTAGTGCACAGGTGTACCTTAGACTCAAGCCTTCCAGTCACCCCAAGTCTCCCAGTCTCAAGCCTTCCAGTCACCCCAAGTCTCACAGTCTCAAGCCTTCCAGTCACCCCAAGTCTCCCAGCCTCGAGCCTTCCAGTCACCCCAAGTCTCCCAGCCTCGAGCCTTCCAGTCACCCTAAGTCTCCCAGCCTCGAGCCTTCCAGTCAACCCAAGTCTCCCAGTCTTGAGCCTTCCAGTCACCCCAGGTGATCCTGTCTCAAGCCTTCCAGTCACCCAAGTTTCCGGAGATCCTTCCTTGTCCTCCTCCTCCAAGACCCCCTGTTCCCCGTCGCCGGCCTCCTAGGCTTCTTTGGTCCCGCCTCCTGGCTCCCAGTCGCCGGCCCTCTAGACTTCTCCGGTCCCGCCTCCTGATTCCCCGTCGACGGCCCCCTAGGCTTCTCCGGTCCCGCCTCCTGGCTCCCCGTCGCTGGCCCCCTAGACTTCTTTGGTCCCGCCTCCTGGTTCCCCATCGCCGGCCCCCTAGGCTTCTCAGGTCCCGCCTCCTGGTTCCCTGTCGCCGGTCTCGCGGGGTTTTCTGTCCCCTCCTCGCCTGCCCTTTTTGGGTGGTGTTTTGTTGATTCCCTCCTCTCCCTCCCTCTGGTTTTCTCGTGTCCTGTGTTTTGTTTTGTGCTTGTTGTTTGTTGTTCTTGTTTTGGGCGTCTGGTATCTGCCCCTGGGGGGGGGGGGGGGGGGGTACTGTCATGGTCTGCGTCTGCCCCCTTCTTTTTGTGCTTCCTGGTGTCCTCCATCCCTCTCTAGATTCCCTTTTGTGTCTCATAGCGCCCTCATGTGTCCTTGTCTTCGTCTCAGTCTTGTGTCTTATGTGGTAACCGGTACTATTATTCCTCCCAGGTCCCGTGTCATCTCATTCCTCCCCAGCCCCTCCAGGTCTTCATTTTCTGTGTCCTTGTAGCCCCCAGCCTCTCAGTCCCCTGCTCTGTGTGTGTGTGTGTGTGTGTGTGTATGTATGTGTGTGTGTGCTTGGTCATTTCCCAGTTCTGTTTATAGGTGTCAGAGTTTTGTGTGTGTATGCTTGTCCTGTTTATATTAGTGCATTTGTGTGTGATGGTGTGTGTGTGTGTGTGTGTGTGTGAGTCCTTCCCTCAGTCTCTAGGTTTAAATTTTGTATTTTAGATTTATCTGCCCTTCTCTGTTCTGTTTCCCCATTTAGATTATTATTGTCATCTGCCTTCCCTCCAGCAGCTCACTCCGCACACCTGCTGCCTGTTTTCCTGATTGCCTCTCCCAGTCTATTTAAGCCCTGTCTTGTCTTTGTCTTGTGTCGGTCCATTAATGTTTGTTGATTCTGTCAGTTTAGTCCCTCTGTGTTTAACCAGTTTCTTCATCCCCAGATAATAATCTGCTTCTTGACTTTTTGGCTTTTTGGATTTTGACTCCCAGTTTGGATTACCTTGGTTTTTTGGCTCACCCACAAAATAAAGACTTTTTACTTAAAATCTTCATCCCTGCCTCCGTGTCATCCTGGGTATTGCATTTTGGGTCCACACCACCGTATCTTGACATCCTGATTGGTTTATCATTAGTCACTTATTCAGTAAGCTGGTTGGGACCATTAATGTAAAGTGTTAGCCTGACCAGCCAGCCCCAAGCTTCCTTATGAGAAGCATGGGGCTGGGAACTCTCCTATTCAAATAACCCCACCCCCTGTGAACTCTGAGCCAATCGGCGCTGAGCAGCGTACGTCACACACCGCAATGCCAAGTTTCTCATAAACATGGTGGCTGAAGCGGAGTTTGCTGTGGCTCTTTCCTCTGTTCTAAATTACTTGGACATGTCTTTAAAACAAGAATAAGTAGAAGCGCTAAGAGCCTTTCTTCTAAAGAAAGATGTTTGCACCGTCGCCAGACGCCAGTTTTGACCACAGCTTAAAAACTACTGCGTTGCGCGGTACAGTCGGCATTTCTGCCTTTTTTCTGATGGTTATTTCTTAGCTGGCTAGTCCTACCCCTCATGTGCCCCTCTGACTGAGAGTAACCAGACTAGTTCTGTGCAGACAGAGGACGAGTCTGGCAGGCCAGGCTTGTAAAGTGTTACCAGGCTTGGAATAGTGAGTTGGACATAATTAGCATTTCCAAGTGGTTTTGAAACCATTTACTGGGTCTACAGCTATCATTGTAGTCAGTGACTCGATGCCGTCTGCTGGGTTTTCTTACACAGGAAACTTTAACCTATCAGAACAATGCACTCAGAAGTAGGTTATTTTGGAATGTTTGTAAAGTGCCTTGAAACGGTGCTATATAAATAAACTGAATTGACTTGAATTGCTAATAGTCTCTTGTTGTAAATTCATGTATTTTTCTATATTGCAATACGTACATGGATTAGAAAAACTTTGCAAAGTAGATTTCTTTTTCCTTGTGCAGTCCTAATTTCTAAAAGTGTTTTGTTTTTGTTTTATTGCCTTCCTGCAGGAACATCTTTGATTGGCTGGTTTACTCCCTGCTGATTGCTTCCTTCAGCGTCCATGTGACCGATGTGCTCCAGCCGTCTGCTTCTTTGCACACGCTCAGTCTGCGGCTGTTTTCCATCTCCATCATCCTGCTGTGGTTGCGACTCATGAAACACGTCAGAGCCTTTAGGTACACAACACTATATCAACACAACACACTTACAGTAAAGGCGCAATTGAAATGACCACTGTCTCCAGTGTCTTGTTGAAATGTGAGTTTATGACTAACAGCTGGATGTTGTGCAGGCTGATGGGGCCATTTATTGTCATGTTGGGGAACATTGTTGAGGATGTGATGCGTTTCCTGTTCCTGTATGCTGAGATCTTCATCCCCTATGCCTGCAGCTTTTGGATCATGTTTGGAGGTCAGACCATCTCTGTGAATGGATAAATGTCTTTATTACCACTGAACAAAGACTACAGTAAAATAAAGAATGACTGAAAAATTAAAAGTGGGGTTTACTGAAAAACCTTTCTCAGTGGCCTAGTGGTAGAGTGTCCGCCCTGAGACTGGGAGATCGGGGGTTCGACTCCTGGTCGGGTCATACCAAAGACTTTGAAAAAATGGGACCCAATGCCTCCCTGCTTGACACTCAGCATTAAGGGGGTTGGATTGGGGGGTTAAATCACCAAATGGTTCCCAAGCGCGGCTGTGTCTGCAGCTCACCGCTCCCCCAGGGGATGGGTCAAATGCGGAGAATAAATTTTGCACACACACCTGTGTGTGTGACAACTAATGTGACTTTGACTTTAAAAGACTCCAAATCCTGCCATTAGAAGCCTCCAGGATGCAGCCACACCCTCAGTGAAAGGAGGCACCTGCTAATATATGCAAGCAAAATGGCCTCCACTTCTGATGTAGTAGTAAATTTTATTTATATAGCACTTATCACAGACATAGAATCACAAAGTGCTTCACATAGATCAAAACAAAATAAAACAAAGTCATAAAATCTTAAACAGATTAACATCATAAAATCAAAATACTCTCAAAACAGAATTAGATAAACATCAGAAAAAATAAAGTCATAAGATTATAAATTTTCATAAACAGACGAAAGATTAAAATTTTGAGTTAAAAATAAGAAAATAAAAGGCTTAGGTAAAAGCAGATTTAAATAAAAGGGCCTTTAGCTGTTTTTTTTAAAGTATCCAGACTGTCAATGCTGCGTAAGGATAAAGGAAGATCATTCCAGAGTCGGGGGTGCAACAGTCTGGAAGGAGCAATCGCCTCAACTTTTATATCTGGTCTTTGGAACTTCTAGAAGGTTCTGGTGGGTGGACCTAAGGGCTCGGGTTGGAGCATAAGGCTTTCTCACTTCAGTAATATAGGGAGGAGCTTGACCATGTAGAGCACTGAAAGTTATAGTCAGAATACTAAAATTGATTCTAAAGTTAATGGGTGATAGGAGTGATGTGTGCTCTTCTGTTGACTCCAGTTAGAAGCCTCACTGCAGAGTTCTGGACCAACTGAAGGCGGTCAAGGGCTTTTTTGTTAAAACATGTGAAAAGTGTGTTACAGTAATCTAGTCGGGAGGAGATGAAGGCATGGAGAACCATTTCAAGTTCATGTTTTGACACCAACCTTCACAGTTGGAGATATTTCTTAAATGATAAAAACAGTTTCGGACCAATGTTCTTGAGTGGCCTTCAAGAGACATTGATTGGTCAAAAATAACACCCAAATTCCTTAAGTTTGTCTTGACAGCAGAGGATAAATGACCAAGTTTTAGACTAATCAGGGGAACCATGCTGTCAGAGGCAATGATCAGACATTCAGTCTTTTCAGAGTTTAACTGAAGGAAGTTATCTTCTAGCCAGCTGGTGATAGCTGTTAGACTCTAGTAATTCAGAAAGTTTATAGAACTCAGAATCCTTAAAGGACCAGTACAGCTGAATATCATCTGCATATAGGTGATAAGAGACATTATGAAAAGAATCAAGTATCTGTCCAAGAGGGTGTATGTACAGTAGAAACACCAGTGAACCCAAAACAGAGCCTTAGGGTACCCCACAGAACAGATCAGTAGAATCTGACATGATTTAGTTTATACAGACACTGTAACTTCTGTTACTGAACAGTTCCAGAGATCCCCCCCCCCCCAGTCACTAAGTCTGTTAATTAAGGTGATGTGATCAACAGTATCAAAAGCTGCAGAAAGATCTAACAATACTGACACTGTGAATTCCCCGTTGTCTGCTGCCATCATGATGTCACTGGAAACTTTAAGCAAAGCGGTTTCTGTTGAACGCTTTTTACGAAAACCAGACTGCAATTTATCAAAACTGTTGTGTTGTTTCAGAAAAGTTATCAGTTGATCTGACACAACCTTTTCCAATATTTTAGAGATAAAGGGTCATTTAGAAATGGGTCTGTAATTTTTAGGCTGAGATGAGTCCAAACTTGTTTTTTTAAGTATAAGTTCAATAACTGCATGTTTGAAAACAGATACAGAGCCAGATGGGGTGAAAAACTTGCCCTGATATTTCTGATTTTATTCTCAAAGAATGCTAGAAATTTGTTACAGTCAGACCTTGAGTAAACTGATATAAGTGGGGCGTGAGGTGAAACAATCTGGTTTATGGTGTCAAACAGGACTTTAGAGTTATTTTTGTTTACAGCAATCCGCTGAGCAAAGTAAGTGGCCCTGGAAATTTTCACCGTCTCATTCAGAGATGTTATCAGTTCTTAAAAGAACAGCCTGTGACTTTCTAATCTAGTTGAGTTCCAACGTCTCTCGGCTCCGCGGCATGTCCTTCTGAGACTGTAAATGTTTTGATTAATCCAGGGACTTTTTCTCTTGCTAGAAAAAGTAACCTGCTTAACAGGAGCTACTTTATCTAAGATACTGCAGCATTGTTTATCCAGTGACTGGATGAACAAGCTTGGATCATCACCCTGAACTGAGCTGCTGTCAAATAATCTAGAAAATCCATCCACTGCTGACTGATTAATGATACGTGTCTTTGATTTTAGGTTGTGAGGGACAGATTCAACATTAGATAGGACAATGAAGAAAATGCAGCTGTGGTCACTCACATGAACCTCTTCAACATGTAAATGATTGATTTTTAGTCCCAAAGAGAAAACAAGATCTAGAGTGTGGCCCATTTTGTGTGTGGGGCTGGAAACGTGCTGCTCTAAGTTAAAAGACTCCATAATAGACATGAACTCCACTGCTGTGCTACAATTAGGATCATTAATGTGTAAGTTAAAATCACCAAGGATTAAACCTTTTTCTAGTTTGATCATTGATGATAGAAATTCTCCAAATTCAGAGAGAAAAGGGCCAGCTGGACCGGGAGGTCGGTAGATTAAAATACAGTGAAATACATTTTGTAACCCTACTTTGATGAACTGACATTCAAAAGTTGTAAAAGGGCCATTTTTCACCAGATTACAGACATGTTTGTCCTTAAAGACCACAGCAAAACCTACACCACGACGTGTCGGGCGTGGTGTGGTAAACACAGAGCAGTTTGCTGGACATATTTCATTGAAATGTACAAAATAGCCATCTTGCTGCCACGTCTCCGTAAGAAATAAATAGTCCAACTTTTCTCTGGTGAACAGCTCATTTAAAATAAAGGATTTGTTTGAGATTGAGCGGGCATTTAACAGGGCACACTTAACTGAATCCTGGAGAACATTTGTCTTCTTAACCTGTTGGAGAGGGATGGGTCGTAAACATCTGGTGTTCTGGGTTCTCCGGCCATGAATGCAGTTTATGTCTTTGCTGGTTGATAAATGAACTGGAATAGGGAAACTTTTGGGTTTGTCAGCAGAAGACATTTTGGGAATTGTGACCTTTGTAAGACACACAGAAGACTGTTGCATCATGGGAGGACTGTAGGGTGTGATGTTATTTGAAGTGGAGGTTTGAGCAAAGGCCAAAGAAGGTGAAGATCTCTGGGATATAAACCGTCATGTCTGTGGAAGGGAATCCACCATAGATATATATCTATGGGACTGCACAGCATACCGGAAGGTAGCTGTTAGCATGCTTGAACCATGTCGGTTAGGGTGAATCTCGCCTCAAAAAGGAGAAACGGTTCCAAAACAGGTTAAAATTATCGATGAAACCAAAACTGTGGGACTTGCAAGCAGACTGAAGCCAGGAGTGGAGAGAGAGCAGACGGCTAAAACGTCCATATCCATGAGAAACTGTGGGGATCGGGCTGGAGATGAAAACAGACATTCCACTGCTCTTCAGAATGTCAAAGAGATGGTTAAAATGCTGATTTTAAGATCCTTCTTCTCACATATAAAGCTCTTAATAATCAAGGTCCATCATACATCAGTAATCTGATTGTTCCATATGTTCCTAACCGAGCACTTCGCTCTCAGACTGCAGGTCTACTGGTGGTTCCAAGAATATCTAAAATTAGGATGGGAGGCAGATCTTTTAGTTATCAGGCTCCTCTCCTGTGGAACCAGCTCCCAGCTTTAGTCCGTGAGGCAGACACTTTGTCTACTTTTAAGAATAGGCTTAAAACATTTTTATTTGATAGGGCTTATAGTTAAAATCTGATGTTAGCCTAAATCTGGACAAGTGGGGGATTACAGGGAGGTGGAGTGTACAGTCGGTAAAGACGGCTCTCCCTTGCCCTGCCTCCAACAAGACTACATCTAAATAGGATAGGTTATCCAGAGTTAACTCTGTAGTTATGCTGCTATAGGCTTAGACTGCTGGAGGACACACTGACCACTTTTCACACTCTACTGCTTTCTTCTACAGTGTGTGTGTGTGTGTGTGTGTGTGTGTGTGTGTGTGTGTGTGTGTGTGTGTGTGTGTGTGTGTGTGTGTGTGTGTGTTTGCCTGCACTGTCTTCTCGATCCCCAGTGAGTCGTGGAGGATGGCTGCTTATACTGATTCAGGATTCTCTGGAGGTTTCTTCCTGTTAAAAGGGAGTTTTCCTCTCCACTGTCGCTGCATGCTTGCTTAGTATGAGGATTGCTGTATAGTCACTGACACTAGTCAGTGACTTGATGCAATTTGCTGGGTTCCTTATATAGGAAACATTATTTCTGATTGGCTTAATGAACTGTGAATTGGAATGTTTATTATGTGAAGTGCCTTGAGACGACTCATGTCGTGATTTGGCGCTATATAAATAAACTTGAATTGAATTGAATTGAATTGTTGAGTGATGACAGACTCCCGACGTGTAACATTGTTTGATCCCACATGAATGATCACTCTTTTAACTGAAGCTGGGATGGAGTACAGCTGACCATGAAGTTTATCCAGGAGAGCAGGTACGATTGCTGATGGAAAACATCTCGTCATGACGTTAAAAAAGCGGACATTCCTGATTATTGAATCACCTACCAGCAAAGTGGTAGGTGAAAACAGTGAACGAGGTGTAGAGGGCTCCTGATTTGTGTTCCCGTGGAGTAGTGGAGGATTCTGGGGTTGGGTTCCTGTGGTGTTGTGGAACTGGAGGGTTTGAGGTGGAGGGTTTGCCGTGGAGGAGCTCACCTCCTGAGCCAGGGCAGGAGGTCCAGCAGAGTGTCGACGCACAGAATCCTTTAGTATTTTGTGTCGGGCATCAGAGGTTGAGGTCTGGGGGGGAAGAGACTGCTGAGGTTGCTTCTTCTGGACTACAGGCTCCTGCTGGATGGGATCAGATGGTTGAGAGGGAAGAGGAGGCCTGGAGGAATCAGCTGGTTGTTCCTCAGCAAGTGGAGAGAAGCAGTTTGAAAGACTGAGGTCAGGTGGGGAGTTGGGATCAACCACAGGGGCTCTCCTACGGCCACGTACCACAACCTCTGACCAAGATGAAAATTGGTCAGGAGTAGAGTTGGAAGTCAGATTTTGTGGTGCAGAGGGATCCCAAGCAATGGTGTCTTGAAGCACAGAGTTTTGCATGGATATTTTATCTTCAAACTGACTGACAATTGTCTCAGACAGTGCAGGAAAACAAGATCTAAAACTATCCAGCACCATTTCCTTCTTTTGCAGTTCAGCAGTCATCATATATCCTCTTTAAGGTTTTCAATTATTTTATTTGCTTTAGAAAGCATAAAGGCATCATTGTGGGGCAGATGCAACGGGAGGGCAGACATTCAAGATAGCTCCAAGGTTGCTTACACTTTAGCTGAGCTGCCTTTGTCAGATCCGAAAGATTTGTATTCCAAATAAAGGTCCAAGAAGTGAAAGAATCCAACAAATAAACAAAGGTCCAACAAAGTTCCAACAAAATCACAAAATCCAGAGATCAGTGACAGGAAAAAACAGGTTTTAGGAGGAATTAGAGCAGAAAAAGTAGGAGCTGAAGTAAACACGTCAGCCTCATCTCAAGGTCCAGATAACCCCTATGGTTAAACTCTGATGTTATTGTTTATTTAAGGATCCCCATTAGTCTTCACAATAGCGAAAACTATTCTTCCTGGGGTCGTCATCATCTTCCTCCGCTTATCCGGGTCCGGGTCGCGGGGGCAGCATCCCAACTAGGGAGCTCCAGACCGTCCTCTCCCCAGCCACCTCCACCAGCTCCTCTGGCAGGACCCCAAGGCGTTCCCGGACCAGATTGGAGATGTAACCTCTCCAACGTGTCCTGGGTCAACCCGGGGGCCTCCTGCCGGCAGGACATGCCCGAAACACCTCCCCAGGGAGGCGTCCAGGAGGCATCCTGACCAGATGCCCAAACCACCTCAACTGGCTCCTTTCGATCCAGAGGAGCAGCGGTTCTACTCCGAGTCCCTCCCGAATGTCCGAGCTCCTCACCTATCTCTAAGGCTGAGCCCGGCCACCCTACGGAGGAAACTCATTTCGGCCGCTTGTATCCGCGATCTCGTTCTTTCGGTCATTACCCAAAGCTCATGACCATAGGTGAGGATTGGGACGTAGATCGACCGGTAAATTGAGAGCCTGGCTTTCTGGCTCAGCTCCCCCTTCACCACGACAGATCGGCTCAGCGTCCGCATCACTGCAGACGCCGAACCAATCCGCCTGTCGATCTCCTCATCCCTCCTACCCTCACTTGTGAACAAGACCCCGAGATACTTCTACTCCTCCACTTGAGGTAGGACCTCTCCCCGACCCGGAGTTGGCAAGCCACCCTTTTCCGGTCGAGAACCATGGTCTCAGATTTGGAGGTGCTGATCCTCATCCCAGCCGCTTCACACTCGGCCGCAAACCTACCCAGCAAGAGCTGAAGGTCAGAGCTGGATGAAGCTAGGAGGACCACATCATCCGCAAAAAGCAGAGACGAGATTCTCCTGCCACCAAACTCCACACACTCCACACCACGGCTGCGCCTAGAAATTCTGTCCATAAAGGTAATGAACAGAACCGGTGACAAAGGGCAGCCCTGGCGGAGTCCAACCCTCACTGGGAACAGGTCCGACTTACTACCGGCTATGCGGACCAAACTCACACTCCTCTGGTAAAGGGACTGAATGGCCCTTAACAGAAAGCCACCCACCCCGTACTCCTGGAGCGTCCCCCACAGGGTGCCCCTGGGGACACGGTCATAAGCCTTCTCCAAATCCACAAAACACATGTGGATTGCTTGGGCAAACTCCCATGCCCCCTCCATCACCCTTGCAAGGGTATAGAGCTGGTCCACAGTTCCACGGCCAGGATGAAAACCACATTGCTCCTCCTCAATCTGAGATTCAACTATCGATCGGACCCTCCTCTCCAGTACCTTGGAGTAGACCTTTCCAGGGAGGCTGAGGAGTGTAATCCCCCTATAGTTGGAGCACACCCTCAGGTCACCCTTCTTAAAGATGGGGACCACCACCCCGGTCTGCCACTCCACAGGAACTGCCCCCGATGACCACACAATGTTGCAGAGACGTGTCAGCCATGACAGCCCTACAACATCCATAGCCTTGAGATACCCAGGACGAACCTCATCCGCCCCCGGGGCTCCGCCGCTGTGTAGTTGTTTGACTACCTCAGCAACTTCTGCCCCAGAGATTGGACAGTCCATCCCCAGGTCTCCCGGCTCTGGTTCGTCCTTGGAATGTGCATTGGTGGGATTGAGGAGCTCCTCAAAGTATTCCTTCCACCGTCCGACTATAGCCCCATTTGACGTCAGCAGCTCCCCATCCCCACTGTAAACAGTGTGAGCGAGTTGCTGCCTTCCTCTCCTGAGGCACCGGACAGTTTGCCAGAACCTCTTTGGAGCCGATCGATAGTCTTTCTCCATGGCCTCACCAAACTCCTCCCACACCCGAGATTTTGCCTCGGCAACTGCCACTGCTGCACCCCGCTTGGCTATCCGGTACCTGTCTGCTGCCTCCAGAGACCCACAGACCAGCCACGCCCTGTAGGCCTCCTTCTTCAGCCTGACAGCTCCCCGAACCTCTGGTGTCCACCAGCGGGTACGGGGGTTGCCACCACGACTGGCACCGGCCACCTTGCGACCACAACTAGCAACAGCCGCCTCAACATATGCAGAGTGGAACAAGGCCCACTCGGAGTCAATGTCCTCCTCCGGCCCTCTCCTGCGCTTCCCCGGCTCACAACCTGCTCCCTCCTCCAGCCAGCAAACTCACGTCCCACAGTCTGCTGAACATCTCTGCCTATAACGGACCTCTGAATCAGAATCAATGCTCACCTATGTTCTCCCCCTTCTAGACGCTGAGCTGTCATAGCAGTACCTACCACAGACTTTTCTGTGCATCCTCAGTTCCTTCGTTCTAAATAAATCATTTTTTACCCCCCGTTCTTGGTCTGTGTTGCATTCTGCATGTCTTAGGTTAGGTACCTTCCTCCAAACATGACAAAATTATTTAAATCTTCAGTATTTGAACTTGATGTTCTATAACAACAACATGCCAGTATGGGTTTGCAATATGGAATGTGCACCAGAATCCACAATGCTTTAGTGCCAGACCTGCCAAGATCATTTCTTATTTTAACCAAAATATCACTCTGTTTGAGTTTATTTGGCTTGTTATCGTGATGGTTAGAGCACAGTCTCACGTTAGAGTTTTGTCATGAAAACACTGAGATACCTCACATACTGATGGCATCTAAAAAAATAAAAAATTTTGTCAAAATAAAGAATAATTTTAATCACATCTGAAATGTACAATCCTGGAATAACCTCATCCAAACAATGTGCACATCCTGTTTTCACTGATTGGATAGAAATCCCTCCATCAAACTGTGTGTGTGTGTGCATGCGTGTGTGTGTGTGTGTGTGTGTGTGTGTGTGTGTGTGTGCGTGCGTGCGTGTGTGTGTGTGTGTGTGTGTGTGTGTGTGCGTGCGTGTGTGTGTGTGTGTGTGTGTGTGCGTGTGTGTGTGTGTGTGTGTGTGTGTGTGTGTGCGTGCGTGTGTGCAAGTTTACACCTTTGTGAACAATAGCATGGGATAAGTACTGTTTGCATTTCATGACAACCCTGATTTAAAGCACACTACAGGGTGCATTAAATTGCACATACAGCTATTTGTATGCTTTCGTTCTTTTTTAAACACAGAAACAGTTTTGTTTACCTGTTTGTAGCTACGGTTTCGCCGACAGCTGCCGGCTTCTTCAGGCTGACGCTGATGAACCGTAGCTACAAACAGGTAAACAAAACTGTTTCTGTGTTTAAAAAAGAACGAAAGCATGGATTTACAAAGACACAGCAAGAACACACCTAAGAAGCTATTTGTATTTCCTCACTGCTGAAAGCAGAACATAGGAGCTCTTTTGGAGTGATGCTTTAACTAAAGGTATCTTCAGTCAGACCACGCAGGGGCTTGCTATATCTATATGAGTTGTTCCAGGTGAGTCGACTGAAAGGAAGCCAGCTCTGCAGCAGCAGTCAGAGATCACCAGAGACCCGGCTAGAGTAAAGTGTTCTTAATCCAGTCCTATTATTGTTTGTTGTTTCATCGTTGTGAGGACCAGGATCAATTTCTAAACATCAAGGTCAGTACGTCCTCACTGATGATGATGTATGTCTCTGCAGGTTTGTCCACAGTTCCCAGCATGCAGTCTGTCTCAGGCCTTCTCTACAGCCTGTACCGGATCACTCTGGTAGATGAATATGAGTATGCTGCCATGGTAGCAGTAGATGGTGTCATGGCTCCTCTGCTGTGTGGGACGTTTCTGGCTGCATCCTCCATCTTATGTGTCAACCTGCTGATTGCATTGCTTACTGACACCTTCCAAAGGTAAGGGTTCACAACTGGTCCAACAGCTGGGCCAATATTTTCATCAACATCCTGATCCAAAACCCAGACTGGGATTTAGGTGACTCATACAGACATCACCAAAATACCTGGGAGGTCTTACTGACTGACTGACTGATTGTGTTTTAGGGTACATGATAACTCAAAGGCTAATGCGATGATGCAGCAGGCAGCCGTCATCCTGCAGGTGGAGGACTCCATGCCCCGCCTCCGTTCCTTCTATGATGATCAGTATATCTCCAAACACTGCTCCCCATTGGCTGATGACTGTGATAACATCACAGTAAACCCTAGTTATCATCATGAAATGGGCCACATCAAGGCAGAAATCAAAGTTTGTATCACTAGAGCTAAACACTTTCCTTTTACTTATATTTACTGGGTCATAGTAGCGTGGGTTTGTCGTGCAGGAGACTCTGGACCAGTTCCTGGTTCTGCAGAGGAGCATGGAGGCAGTCAGAGGATCAAGGTGAACACCATCAAAACACAAAATGGCATTTGGTGCAAATGTGAGCAGCCAGTGTAACAGATCCACCTTTACTAGACTTCAGAAAGAAGATGATCAGCAGAGCCAACAGCTTCAGAACCAGGAGCGTCGGAACCAGAAACAGGAGCTCCAGACCCAGAACCAGGAGCTCCAGACCCAGAACCAGGAGCTTCAGAACCAGAACCAGAACCAGGAGCTTCAGAACCAGCAGAAACAGGAGCTCCAGACCCAGAACCAGGAGCTTCAGAACCAGCAGAAACAGGAACTTCAAGCAATACAAGCAGAGTTGAAAGAGCTCCGGACTCTTGTCCAGCAGCTGCTTCAGAACGGGAATGAACAGACTAGGTGCAGAGATCTGCAGGACTTGAACATTTTCTAAGCTGCTAATAGAGAAGCTGCTGGTTGAGAAGCAGGTCACTGTTATAGGGGTTTCACATCGACCCGCATTGCCTATATTGTTTTCACACCAGAGTGGCCTGGTACTTTTCCTTATCCTACCGGGGTGGTTTCAGCTCTTATCTCTCGGTTGGTTCGCTCAGGGCTGGTCCAGGCCAACGACTGTGACTGATTGGCTGGCTCAAATACACGCCTACCATTAGGGAGAGCCTCCAGCTGGCACATAGAATCAACCAGCAGGGGCTTCCTGCATGCATGATTCATTATCATTCTGGATGCTGAGACTAAAGCAGCTCTCTGTCTCCCTCTCGCTGCTGTGAGGAGCACACACACACCCACACACACACACACACACACACACACACACACACACACACACACACACACACAAAACCATATTCACCTTTGTTTAAAGGAGACACCACAGACTTTTCCTCACGCCCACGTGCTCCGAGATTTCCCCGTTCCTGAGATGTGTGTGTGAACAAACCCTACCGGTGCAGGAGCCGGACAGATGCCACCCAGCCTGCCCTGGTCCATGCTGGTCCAGATGGAAAACTGCCTTTAGCCTTGCAACCCATGCTATACGAATATAGATCCATTACTGCGTGACGTCACATGCCCACACCCCCACCTCCCTGCTCCAGGCTGGAGGGCACGAAGATGGCCCCTCCCCGTTGACCACAGTCATGTTGATCTGTCAGCTGTCAATAAACAGAGGTGAACAGCAGTGAAATAACATTTATCCGCATGGCTAAAGCCAGGCAGACACAGTGCAACTCGTAGCGTTCAGCTTAAGCTCAAACTGTACGACTTCCTCGCAGAACAAATCTCACGAGTCATTTGCTCTAACTGTACGACCCAGTTTTTGGATGCGAGCTGACTGCTCACGCTGTGTGTCTGGTAGCAACACATCGGGCCTAAAACTATGTTAAAAGTAGTTTTACCACAACATGCTGGACTCTTTTTGTGTTGTTAGATGCCTGTCGTCTTTCGGGAGTGCTGCAGGAGGACAAAGGGATTTATGGGGTTGGAGGAGGAAAATGAAAGAAATTAAATCAAAGTTTTATCAGTTTGATTTGACATACCGGTAAACACGCTTTCTTAACAATCCTTGTCATTGTGTGCGAAAAAAAAGTAGCCCACGTGTTTTAGTAGGTGTAGAGATATCTATATGTAAATTGGGTTAAATTATAATCAATAAGATGTGATGATTCTATATAAATATAGAGTATCAACCTGATTGATCTTTGAACGTTTAACCAGAAGAATTTTAGATTCTTTGCTTATTCGGTGACCACAAACACACTTCGTATTAATTCAGACAGAGTCAAGTATATAATTAAAATAACTTTTATTTTCTAGGCTAACTGTAAACATGACAAGTTATGAAACGATATGTGAAATAGATGAATATGTGTGGATGGAATGTGGTGTGTGATTTTTATCAGAACCTTGTATCTGAAAGAAACGGAGTTCTGGGTGTAAATATTTTGGTCTGCTATAACTAGAGAGTTGATTTATTAATAAAAAAAAAACATCAGACGCAATCCTGCTGTGTCTACGTACCCCTGAGGAGACCCCCGTGGTAGATCCGGAGGGTCAGGAAGTCCGGTGGACCTCAAGGCACCAAGGTTCGCAGAATAACCGCAGCACGACCAGTTCCAGTCTAGGGATGCCTCCTGGTCACAACAACGGGTGGACTTGTTTTGCGTCTCGAACGGTCGGACTCGTAAGGAGTCTTGCTGTGTCAGCTTTGCAGCGTGCAAAAAAGGTTTTGACTGTATGTCAGAGAGATGTTTCAAAGAGGCTGGTTCCAGATTAGCTACTCCGGAGTATCAGCTGGAAACAAAATTAACTCGGCTCGATGAACTTCAACGAACCGAATAACTCGGGAAGTGATCTAAGGTTTATTATTCCTGTGCTATGATTTTATAGCAGATCACAACATGCCATGTTAAGAGGGTTTTACCAAGCAAACCTCAGAACACTCCTCCTTCAGATAAAAGATGCTTTGATTTGTGGATAAGAAAACTTTATGTGCAGTGACGTTAACTTTAGCCTAGTGATATGCACGTGTGAATGAGTGTGTGAACTTGTCACCTCTCGTACATGACGCTCAGTGCTAAATTCGCCCCGATCTCGTAGATTCTCGCACGAGGGTAAAATCGTCATACAGTGTTCGCCTGGCTTAACACACACAGCCCTGTTGGCAGCACAAGTAGACGTATGAAGGACAGAAAAGTTAAATTTTAAAGGTTTCCAGCTGATAAAATATGCTGACAGCAGTGGTTAACGGGCAATTCTATAGAGCTCCGGACCCCACGTGACTCTCAGTTAGTGGACGCCATTTTGGCATGCAAAAAAGGTAAACAAACACGGATGTAACCATGAACATGAACGGGATCCGCTTGGATTTTACTTCGTCGGAGTTTACTTCACACTTTAAAACAGAAGAAATCGTTTTATATAGTCAGAAATTAAATAGACTAAACATCTCCGACCCTTACCGTGCCCCTGGGATACTTTTTAAAAATGCCAGAAGCTGTCGGAGCGGATTTCTTACCGGCACAACACCGGACCTGACCGGGGAACCCCTTGGGATTCCCCCGGCCGGAGGAGCTGGGGAGAGGTCTGGGACTCTCGACTCTACTGCCCGCTCCGACGCCAGAAGCTGTCGGAGCGGGCTTCTTACCGGCACAACAGCGGACCTGACCGGGGAACCCCTTGGGATTTACCCAGAGGAGCTGGCTCCGGCGGCTGGGGAGAGGGAAGTCACGCTACTGCCCCCGCAACCCGACTCCGGATACGCGGATGAAAATGGATGGATGGACGGACAAATAACAGATTTACACGTAAGTAGTCTCGGTGAGACAGATAATAGCAATCCAAAGTGCTTTTTAAGTGTGATCTGACAATTGATCAACCATTGCTTAAAAATTAAATACAGCTTAGCCGGTTAATTGCTGTCATCATAAAACACGTAAACGGCAGCACGCAGAAACACGAGGCAACGTTTTACGTGATGTTTACTTGTTGCTATGAGTAAGACAGAAAAAGCCACGCCAAAATAAGTTTAGGAAGCCCACTAAGAATCATAATAAAAGCATTTAAAATAAATACCATACACAGTTGAGGAAACGTTGGTTTAAGTACCTGATATGAAGCGGTCGCTGCATAAGCGAAAACCTTTACTCTCGGGATCCCACAGCTTCATTTTCGCTCAGTCACTAGCGCGTTTCATTACAATGATCCAACGTTTGCGGCGCTCCGGATCTTGGGGAATCCTGTAGATGGCTCATTCCTTATGTCGTCCGCGTCTATTCTCGCATCCTGGGGCACAACAGGAATCTACCATATTTCCCGTTTGATTGAGTTTTCTGACAATAACATATAGTCCAGCTGCCGGCTTCTGCCTGCCAAATGGCGCCGTTTCGATTTGAACTGTTGCATGCTGGGAGAAGTGACGTCAACTCCCGGAGCTCTATAGGACAAACCACCCACACTGTGGCAGGCAAAGTATCAGGACAGAAAAAAAGTCATATATCTGCCCCACAAGTCCAGAAACAAACATGCTACAGCCATCTAAGGACTTCAATGATTTTTTTTAATATAATTATATGCAACTGCGAGGACGAGGATCCGGCCGGGGGAGAAGCCAGGGGAGAACCGAACAAGCGGATCCAGCAACGAGGGAGAGCTGTGCTGCAGATCAGTCCTGAAAAATAAATGTGTGTGAAAACGACAATGCTGGTGTGGTGTGTAGTTCTGTGTGTAACCCGTAGTAACAGTCTTGTTACAATAATTACACAAAACGCAGGCAGCCGCTAATGACGTTTGTGTTTATGTTTACGTTGCTCGTCAGAATAAACGGAGCATCCTTTAATCTCCAAAGATGAGCGGTGTCACGGCGATCGTTCAGCATTAACCCGCAAAACGCAGAAGAGATCCAGTTACTC